TTTTTTTCTGTATTAAATAAAGACATTTATTATTATTATTATTATTATTATTTATGTAAACTTTACATTTTTACGAATTACTGATTTCTACCAAAATGGTAAAGCTGTGAAAAAAGTTAAGATGTTATTTCTGTTCAAAATAATATTTGAATTAAAAAACTTACAATTTTGGCTAAAATGTAACTGGCATACCTCAGATCTGTGCGATTGGTTGAGACTTAATTTTGTTAATTTAATTTCGGCGTCTTCAAATGATCATAAAATACAGAGAAGTATTTTTTTAATTAAATCACAAATCAAGGCTTCAAAAGGCAAATATTTGTAAGAGAAAATGTGATTAAATTGAGCCAAAAAAATGCTCCTTCATTATTCACGTGTTCTGTTTTATATACGTGTGTTTGTAATAAAATGTATTTCTTTATGTACACAAATGTAATGTAATCATTTTATTCTCATTTCAGGGCAAAGAAATGATCTCCATAAACATAGATCTTCTAGGCCACACGAGGCTGGTTCCAGCAGTCAGCAACAGAGGGAGCGAGAATATAAAGAAAGGAAGGAACGTGAAAGGCTGGCTGCGCAGCAGAAGGCCTTAATGGGTGGCCAATCTAAGATTCCTCACGGACACCATCGTCCTCCAGTTGATCCCAAATTAAAGCCACATGCAAGACCACAATCTATGGGAAGCTATCAACCCAGCAATCGTGCCGAACCCAGAGATATTCTGAGAGAGACATCGAGAGATTCACCATTTGGACTGCCCAACAAAGATTATAGAGATCAGTCACGGGATCACGGAAGGGATTCCACTTCCAAAGATCCCCAGGTGGCACGTAGTGATACGCGCGGTGATAAAGATGTGCAGAAAAGAGATTATCTTCTTAAACCAAATGTACAGACTGACATGAACAGTTTAAACAATTACCCCGATTCGCGATTAAGTGCTGAGAAACAACGAATCGACCTGGCTAACAGGTCTCGAGTGGATCCCCAGAAAGTGTCATCCACCAAACACGATTCAATGCGTAAACATGAAGAATCCAAGCCTTACCTTAAATCTGAAACCGATAATATTAAAAAACACTTAAGTGCCAGTGCGTACGATAAAAGTAACGTTTACTTAATGAATAAATCGCTAACCTCTACCTCGCAAAAAATCAAGTCGCCTTTCCATGTAGATGCCTCAAAATCCGTCCCCAAACAAAACAAGAATGAAATAATTACTCATTCTAAACCCCAACACTATAATGGAAGTAGCAATGACAGTTCATACAATCTTCCTGTAATAACAAACGATAAGATTAAAACGGATCCCGTATATGTAAAAGAAGAGATCCCAACTCCTTCCGTCATCAAAAGACCCAGTTTATTTTCACCAGAAAGTACCCCACCACATAAGAAAGCTATCAAATCATCTCCAACTTCTCTGAAGAATGTTAATGAAATTTCTACACCTCTATCTCCCTTAACTTCTCCTGTGAATAAAAGAAGCAGAAATTATTCGAGCAGTTCAGAACCAGAACTAAGACCCGTTATGAAAAAAATAGACCAGGTCCAAGGTTTTGAAAATCTCGTACGAGACAACACAATCGGCATGGATAAAATTCATCATATGCCTGACGTAGTAACTCCTCTGTCTGACGTGAAGAAGGAGTACAATGAAGTTCACGTTCCTGAAGCTTACAGCAATGATATGAAACCACCGGATATCATTCCACTATTACCTACAGAAAACGCCAATATGTCTACACTTGTGAACGGTTTAGAGACAAATCCTACTTTGATCAGTCATTTATTAAAGGAGGCCCCTTCGGTACCTCACTTACCCGTGGTTGCTGCTTCGGAAACTACTGCCCAGCCAGTCGTTCAGCCACAAGTTCAGACAGAGGTTAAGGAAAAAGAGCACCATCATCACAAAAGTAAAAAGAAGAATAAAGAGAAACACAAGCATAAAGACAAAGACAGGAATAGGGAGGAAAAGAAAAAGAAACACAAAGACAAGGACCGTGAAAAACACAAGCACAAAGACAAACAAGAAATTCCCCAACCAGTCGCTGCGGAACCCATCAAAATTAAGATCCACAAAGACAAAATCCAACCTTTACCGGAGAGTTCGACGCAAGGTCCCAGCATCGGGCTGAAGATAAAAATCCCCAAGGACAAAATTAAGACTGAAAGCATCAGCGAACTGTCCCAGCCTCCGCCAAGTGGCGGGCTAAAGATTAAAATTCCTAAAGAAAAGATCAATTGTGGGGCGTCAGTCGATAGCAACAGTAAAAAACGCGATCGGGACCACAGTTCGCCCCCAGATGCACCGCCGAATAAAGTGGCCAAGGGGAGTCACAAGGACTCCAAACAGAACGGCAAGCATTCTTATAACAAGGTAAGCAACTATCAGAATAACGTTAACCCCCGCCCTCCTCCTCCATACCCTGTCAACATGCCACCGAATCGCGCGCCTTCGAGGCAGTTGTATCCCCAACCACAACATAATCCAATGTATTATTACCAACAACTGCCGCCGCCTAGTTTACCGGACATGAGCGTACCGCCACCGCCATTCTTGTTTTCCGAAGGGGCATCAATGTATAGTCGGTACTTCCACCAAGGGTACATGTACCCTTCTGAGATGTACCAGCAACAACTACCACTGCCACACACCACCAATGCCAATCCACCGTTACCCAAGGATGCGCCTCCATATGTACCCCCACCTCCTCCACCTGAGTAGTGCAACGATTCGACTGATTTTAATTTGTGGCTCAAAATATATATAAATTAAGCGTATTAACTCCTTCATACACATTAAGTTTTTAGATATTAATTCGTAGTTTTCTATACAGATAAATAACTAAATCAATTGAAAAACAATTATAATAGTACATATACAGTGTGGCCCATTAAAAACCATTGCACCCCTCTAAAAATTTTTTTGGCACATGCAAGTGGAATAAATTTGATTTTTACATGTACATGTTTACCAATTACGATAAGTCACTCGTATGAAATCACAAAAATTTTGAAATTCCATATTATTTACCGTTTGTACGAGCAGTATCAGTAATTCCATAATTTTTCATTTCCAATTCTGATGCCTCTTAGATGTGACACTGAATAAGCCGCTATAAGCCAGAATTTTTTATAATGAAATTCGCTTCGCTAATTTTCTAAAAAATTTGTTCTAAAATAAAAATTGCAGTAGGCCATAGACTATGATTTGAATTGTCACAATTGGCTCAGTAAATACATCTAGAAAGAAAGAAAAAAAAAAAAAACAACGAAATGTGTCGACAAATTTTTAGAGGAGTGTTCTTAATGAGCAACCCTGTATTGTGAGATTGCTGATGATTAGGCATATCAAATAAACATTTTTTATCAAACATTGAAAGACAAAAAAAATGGAAATGGGAACTGTATTCTAAAATTATATATAAGATAACTAAAATTATGAAAGTAAATAGTTAAACATAAGATTTATAAACATCTATTGAAATGTTCGCATAGAATTAAAAAAAAAGTTCTCAAAAAATTGAGTTTTATAAATATGAAAAAAGTTTTTATATTCAATTTATAAGTGATAATATCTAGTGGAAACCTAAGTTTAAAATTACAAATAAGTAATTCACTAATGAAAGAAATCAAATTTGTGGCTAACTTCACAAGATGATTACACTTCAGTACTGCAGGAGGAATATTATTGTGCATTTACGAGATGGCATTTTAATTACAGAGGCCGACAAAATTTTACGAAAGTCCAGAACCAGAAACCGCATCTAGTGTACCCGAAGGATTTTGGTGCGCTGATTACGAATCCGAGCTCAGAATTGGTCCATCACCCTAGATTCTCGAAATATTCTAACCTAAAAATGCAAAAATCGCGGTCTTTGCTATATTCGGGGTCAGATTACGTGAATTAATTTTTTTCTAAAATCGCGTTAAACCTTACCCTTCTAAGCCCACTTCGATTTCGTTGCAACATGAAAATAAACAAAATTTATCCAAAAACGAGATATAAGGTACTTATATGTTTCTTGAGTCGCTGAATTTGAAAACACCGGCGGACCTGCTCCATAACCTCAATATTTCAAGATTTTTCTAACCTAAAATTGAATACTATATGCAGCAGATACCTATGTATGCACACTGTTACATTCGGATGCTAAGCTCATGACAGGTTCATCATAATGTGCTAAGTATAACCTACCATACATTAACCTAAATGCGCAATAACCAACGAGGGTTAAACCCACGACAGGTTAACCTAAATGCGCAGTAACCTACGAGCGCTGAACCTTAATACTAAACTTCAATCTATCATGACTCTATGGAAAAAAAGATTTTCAAAAAAATCGAAGTGCGCTTAGAAGGGTAAGAGTGGTACTTTAAATTCTTTAACGCGATTTTAGAAAAAAAATTAATTCACGTAATCTGACACGAAATATAGCGAAAAACTGCGATTTTTGCACTTTTAGGTTAGAATATCTTGAGAACCTAGGGTAACAGACCAATTCTGAGCTCCAATTCGTAATCAGCACATCAAAATCCTTCGGGTGCACTAGGTCCGGTGTCTGGTTCTGAAAATTGTCGACCTGTGTTATTATAATCATATAAAAAATAGATTTGAATTTGATGAAACGAATGGTTTGTTCTCATGATAGCTAAAAAACGTAACAAATTATATAAATAATTAAAATAAAAAAGGAGAATAGTTCATTGCACACAATAAAAAAAAAAGCAACCGGACAATTTTTATTGAACTATTTTCTAAACACATAAGATGCTTAGACAAAACTATGATAATTTTAAAAATTAATTTAGTTGAATCTCAAATATATTGAAGACAAATTGAAAAGTAATTCAGTATATATTAAACATATACATTACGTAACGTAATGTGTATTAAAAACATCATTAGGTTTATCGTTACTCATTTTTTTTAATTGTGATTTATTAAATTAGATTTAAATTTTTAAATTTTTGAAATAGGTTACACAGTAATTTATTGGTATAGAAATATGTATGTAGAATCTTTCTGTAGTCTTATTAATTATTTTAAATTATTACATTGGTTAAATTGTTTTAACAAAAACTAGCCACAAGTTAGAACAGTGAATATTTAATTTGCAATGTATTAATATAATCCACACCACTTTTGTAGAAAATAGTTTAGATTTTTATGCCACTTTAATTATTGTTGTAATAGTACCGTTATTTATTGGTTTAACATTGCCTTGTCAGTCATAGATGATTAATTTGTATATAAGTACTACTATGTCGAGGATTTTTGTACTTTTTTGTTCCAATTAGAAATTAGATACATTCTTTTATTTTTTTACATGTTCTTTATATAGTTAGAATATGTTATTTTCAAATTTTTTATTTATCTTGTAGTCATTTTATTTTGTAATACTTTTAAATATAGTTTCAAGCACTTACATTGTAATACTAATTAGTATTGCCTTAACACACTCTACTTGCTTGCTTGAAGCATCTTTTTCGTAATTAATTGCAAGTACCAAAGTTCTTCTTGCATGTAGTTTCCTTTTTTCTCTATTTCTATCAGCACGAAACCAGTAGAAATTTAATTTATTGCGTGATATATTTAAATTGCCTTAATTACTTATACAAAAAATATAATTATTACATTTTTCCTGTGGGGGTTCTAAGCGTGTATAATTTTAAAAAAAGACTGAATAAAAAAATACTTACTAATTAGTTATTATCTTACATAATTTAATTACCTAAAATAATACCAAACAAATTTCTGAAAGCAGACTTATTTAAAAAATTCTTGTATTAAAATCCGCAGGTACAATTTTTTATACAGAAAGATTAAAAAAAAAATGATTCATACAAATCGATGTTTTATACAGCGTGATTTATTTGAACATGGCAAGAATAAGATGGATGGATATTCCCACTGAGAAATATTTATATGCGAAAAGAAATGCAAGAAAATAAAATAATACATACAGGAGATACCCTATGAATGTACTGAACCTCTTTTGCAAAAGATTATATGTAATCGGCACTCTTAATAAAAGTGTTCGAACGTTTTCCCGTTACATTTGAGATATAGTTCGCCAAATAAAATGTCAGTAAATTATATTATCATAAAAATCCTATTGTACAACCTCTCCCAAAGATTTATGTTCGCGTTGTGCTTGAAGTGGTCAGAAAGCTTGAGAATTTTCTTGGTACCAAACATGACCCTATACTTAGTGGTCGAAAGTATAGAGAGTGACACCATAAAGTGTATAAAATGATGTATGCACATCGATAGGATCTATAACTGTCTATAGACTGAGTTATACTGAACGTCCATCTATTTTCTATCTCTGTCTATCGCACTTATTACGGATAGGGAAATGCTTTTTTTTTAGTGGGTGTAAACGGACTTACGTAGTATTTGATTTAAATGTCGTTAGAAACACCATAGCGTAGGCGGAACAAAATACAACCGGGACGTTTTAAAATGTAGTAATAATTAAAATGGATTAAAGTGCCGGTTGTAGCAAACTGTCTGTTCATAAAAGTAGTAGATGTAATGTTTTATTAACTTTTTTCCATATTTTCTATATCTTGTTGCCTTTTACGCAGACATGCCTATGGATTTTAAATCCCTGCATGCTTCATCCTCCTTACTAGTCCAAGAGCTAGCGATGAGTCAGTCTCTATAATTTCGACTGCGAGGTATAATATTAAAAATTTCTCCCCTTATAAAAACGGCCTTGTCCGTTCAAAGAATATTTCATAAACTCGGGACCTTGTCAGGTACACTCTAAAAACCCTTCACAAAATCCAGTGTAATATAACATCTGCAGTTTCTATCACTTGAATGAAAACGATATATTTGCCGTATCTGTAAATTCAACCACTTTCGATTTCGTACATATCTACCACCCCTATACAATGCATTCACATTTTCGTATACAGCACCATATATAATTTATACCACAATGTTCTTCAGTAGTAAAAGTTACCTTTGTACAGTTTTGCATCACAATCTTAACTAACACATCTATGCTTAAAGTACCTACACTTAAGGGGTGACACTACAATCTTTCTTCATCAACTAATTATCGAATAGTACTCGACATTAAAAAAAAATTGATTTAGTGAGCTCAGACTAAGACTAATCTACCTTTAAAGTATTGATAGGTTTTAATAAATCACCCTGTATATTAGAAAAAAATCAAAATGAATACTGTATATTTTCATTATTTACATGTACTTGAAATAAATTTGAGGCTCCTCCATATTTTCTTGATCGTAATACAGTACATTTTCTTCAGGTATTTACATCAGCAAAGCTACTCTTAATAGTTATTTACTTACGCTTTTTAAAACATCTACTTACTAAATGCCTAACAAGGATTTATATATAATTTACTCTGTATTTTGATCTATATACAGGGTTATTCACATAACATTCTAGCTGCTTTATCTTTGTAGCTAGGAAAAAATTGTACATTCAAAGTCACTATTAAGAAAATATATCTTATTTCTAGAGAAAGGATACTTGAATCCTATAAAATCAGAATCTGACAAATCCGTTAATCTGTTATTTGTGGGAAAATGGAGAAAAACTGTTTCAGTATGTTACTGACAAGACAGACTTGCAAATTACTGACTAATGATATTAGAATACAGTAAAATTTTGGTAAAAAGTGGATTTGTTGGATTTTGATTTTAGAGGATTCACTTATTCTAAGCATTTTATATAATATTACCTCATTAATAATACTAACTTTCTTCAATATTTTCTCCCTTAAATCATATAAATTATGTCTTTTTTTGTTTACTTTATCGTTCATCACTTTTTTTTTCATAATCAAATACTTAAAAATCTATTTAGTAAATTTAGCAATAGAAAAGCTTAAATATGTACTAGTTCCATGACATCAGTAAATAAACCAAAATAATGTGCAAATATATGTAATACATTTATCACTGTAATTTGAAAACGGAAATGATCTAAAAAAGTGACAAACATACAGGGTATTTTATTAAAGCAAAAAAAAAATTAGTTTATATCATCGAAATGCAACAGTCAATTCTTTTTTTATACTGGGTGTCCCAGACCACCCGTCCACCTCTTCTAAAATCCAAAGTACGTGGTTATGTGAAAATGGTTCAGATGATGAAAGTTACTGGCATCTATGAGGCATATATTATCGTGACCTTGAAGGTCATTTTCAAGGCCAACTTAGTTTTTTTAATTGAAAACCCTTATTTTCAACCCTGGATTTGGAAAGAGCGGAAAATTCTACGTTCAGATGATGTTTCATGTGTGGGGTCCATTTGACCCCCCAAGGTCACGTGGTCAATTTTTTTTTCAATTACAATTAATGTGTAACAACATAATGACATAATAACATTAAGTTATTTCAATGTTAATAAAGCAAACCTGTTTTTTATGTAATACCATTGAAATAGTACCTAGATACAAAAAGAAACCATAAACAAAATTGACCTTCATGTGACCTTGGGGGGTTAAATGGACCCTACACATGATACATCATCTGAACGTAGAATTTTCCGCTCTTTCTGAATCCAGGATTGAAAATAAGGATTTCCATTTAAAAAAAACTAAGTTGACCTTGAAAGTCTTTTTTTTTTTTTTTTAATATGTGCCATTTGAAAACCAGTAACTTTCATCTGAACCATTTTCCACATAATCATGTACTTTGGATTTTAGAAGGGGTGGACGGATGGTCTGGGACACCCCATATAATTCTTCGAAATTACAGAAAATTTCCTAAAGCTGTAGTCTTTACCACTTTTACTATATAGAAAAGTAAAAAAGATATAGCGGGTAGATTGTTATGTGAGTAGCACTGTACTGAAATTTACCGATTATAAAAAATGTCAGTGTAAATTAATACCCTCCAGTTCATCATAAAAGCTTAAAATTGTGTTTTATATCAAAAAGACGTATGTAATATTTTATATACGGACTGTTTAGGGAAAAGGTGCCACAAATTCAGAGACCGATAGGACCTCAAAAAATAAGAATTTCTGCTATGAACCACAGGTCCATCGTCTTTAGCTTTTGATATTTAAAAATTATTTTTTATAATTAAATTTAAGCCAGACAAAAAACAATATAATGCATTGAAATTGATACAGATAAGTTTTTAAGGTTGCTAAATATGTCATTATAGTCAGTTTATCCAGTGACATTTCATGAAAACTTTTTTGACATTAGGTTTTCTACTAAATCGTATGTCATAATATATAATTTCATTTTACATCAAAACAGTACTCTAGTTGAAATAGTTGAAAATGGATGTTTCTCAAAGAACCAGTTTCTATTCCTTAATATACAGGGTCGTCAGAGACGTACTTCAAGGTTAGCTTTCTAGGGTAGAAATAAACTGATTTAAATTAAGTTACATTTAAGTTACCTTAATTCTAACTTTCCTTGCTTCAAAAGTTGCCAGCTTCAAAATATTGTTTATTTCTTATTAATACTTACTAACATAACTTTTTAAAGAAATAAAATTATGCAAAGGTAACCTGATCTAAATTGGTTTATTTTCATCTAAGGAAGCTACTTTTGAAGTGTGGTCCATTCATTTCAACTCTTTGTATATTACGGAGTAGAAGCTTTGGACTTTGAAACAATGAATTGGATTTTTTTTCTGAAAAAATGTATTTTCAGCGATTTCAACAAAAAGTACCTTTTCTATGTAAACAGAAATTTTTTCAAAAACAAAAGTTAAGCTTATGGTCCATAAAAAATCTTATTTCTTGATGTTCTATCGGCTTTTGAATTTGTGGTACCTTTTTCAAAAACACCCTGTATATTTAAAACCTTTACTGAAGGCTTTAATTTGTTGCAAATATTTGTTTTTACTTTTCAGATACAATTTTTGTAGAAAATCCGAATAACCGATATTGTTTTTTTAATGTAAATAAAAAAACACTGGCTATTTCATAACACTTAAACATATTTCATGTCCTCTAGTATTGAAAGGAAATGAAAAATGTTTTAAATGTAAATTCAGGGATTGGAAGTTACAAATTATTAATCAAATGTTGGATTTTGTAATTGTGTTGATATGTAACGAAAATAATACAATTCGTCTTCTAATCAGGTAATAACATATTTTATAATAATATACTGATACTAATTAATAAAATCACATATCAAAAATAAATGCCTGCGAAAACTGAGAAATATTGACATTTCTATTATAAACAGTGATTATTAATGAAATTAGAAATATTTTTTTTTTTACATCCATCCTAGGTGCTAAAATTGCCAATTAACTACAATAAATTTCTTAATTCATGCAAAATAATTTAGTGCATGTCCTTTTTTATAAAACTAAAATCATTTAACTAATATAAATCTAACGTTCATCAGTGCTTATAATATGACATGTAGTATTTTGGACCTGGGCGGTCTGTTTTATGGTGTTTGGTGCTTTGCAGGTGGCGCAACTGGGTGATGGCGATGCATCCATGCACAGGTTGGCCGAATCTAAGTATACCAACAAGAGCTCGTCCTCCTAGTTAAAACAACAAACGTCGATATATTACGTATAAAAAAATCTGGTAAAGAATCTAGTTAAAGCAATAGCAATTAGGATATTTGATAAATAGATATGATTATTTATAATGGCTCTATGCAATGCATTACACAATATTGTGGAATTTATAAATTGTTGTGTATAAAGTATAATACGGGTATTTATTTATTTCATTTTCCTTTAGGAGGTTCAGGTCTCATATTTTTTTGCACTGGAGCCATTATTTCTTTTAATAGAACTTTATAAATTAGATATCTGGGAAAAACACTTTAAATTTTGTTCTTTATTCAATAAACTAACATGATTCGGTATGACCTGTTATATTTAGATAATGCCAACTTGAAATTTTGCTTGGTTGGTGATATACCTCTATAAATATATTGCTTTCACTTACATATGATGTCACAGATTATCTCGAGCCTATTGACTGTCTTTTGTTCAAAGAAATCGAAATAATTTTTTGAGGTTATATGTGATAATGTATGCAAAGTGATCCATTGTGAAACATTAATCATCTGTTGGTAATGTAACGAACATCATCTTCATATTAATATATTACTGTTGTGTGATGTGTCTGTAAATGTTTTCTTCTGCTTTGTTTGTCATTCTATCGCTTACTTTATAATTTGATAAAGAATAAAATTTAAAAGTTTAAATTTTTTTAGTTTGTATTTTTTTAGTGCTAAAGTTTCTCTTATTATTTTCGTGATCCAAAGGACTGAAATCTGAAATGATGTTTTGGATCGACACTTGTATACTAATAATATTTCCTAAGAAGATGCATAAATGTAGAAATAATGTAAATATTTTACTCACTAGTTATTTATAATAATTTTTGTGATTAACTAAATGAAAATAGTTAGGTAGTTTAGATATGAAATTAAAAACTGCAATAGATAATTCCTTATGTGCATGTAAACAAAAAAAAAAGTATATAATTTTTTTGAAATTTAAAATATAAATCGAATAAAAAATCATGAGTGTGTTAGGTGCATTTCTTATTTGAATTAAGAGTTTCTCAAAATGAAAGATGTTTCAAAGCAATTGAGGTACTTTTGGTACAATTTACATATTGGTACGTATGTATGTATACGATGTACCATTCTCGTGAATGTATTTTCTACAGTAGTGTTGCTATGCTGGGCATAGCAATCGCGGTTCTGTTTCTTTTATATTTATCTTCATTTTGAGAAATTTATTTTATGTTTATATTAAAAAAATTTATAAATCATGTTTAATTTAGTTTATTACACGTTTAAAATTAAATGTATAGATTTTTTCATACAAAAAAGTGTAGTGAAGTTGCACTTTTTTTATTTATTTTAAACAATATGCTAGATATTGCTTTTATTTCAGTAAATATAATTTTGCTGTACAGAAAATTATAACATAACTAAGCATACATATTAAAAAATACTGTATAAATAAAAATATTTGGAATGTTTTATTTTCTCGGGTTAGGCAATTTTAAAATGGGAAAAAACTAAAATTTATTTGTTAATTTTAGAATTAATATTACTTTAAAATTTAATGTATTTTATATATATATTTTTTTTGTATCATGTATTACACGTTTACTGCCAAGGTAAATCTGCTGTGTAAAAAGCTGATAGATTTTGTACATATATTTTATACTTGTTATATATTTCGTTGTAACCTTCGTTTATAAATATATTTATAACAAAACAAATATATTTGTATATTTAGTTTAAATCCTGTTTTTCACAACACCTTTCTATGTGATCACATCATTAGGTGGTGAACGTGTCTTTTATTATTATTGAATTTAATAATGGAGAATGATTATTATAATATCAGTGTCAATAAACTTTTTTTATTTGAATTCTTTTTTCACTTTTCTCCTAATCCAAATAATCTAAATAGTATATAGTAAGTTTTCTTTTATTAGCATATATTAATGCATTAAAATAAGGCACTTGATTTTGAATAAAATTTTATTACACATAAATACACTGTTTGTCATTGGAATCTTGCAAACCAGTCGACTCAATTATAAAAAAATATGCACAGCTAGTACCTAGGTATTGAATGATGCTTTTAGTTTTTTTTTGTAACAAATTGCTGAAAATGTAGTTTTATGAAAATAAATTTTTGGCTTATTAAATAACTTTATAGCAAAAGCTGTATGTGCCAATGATATGGTACACATTCATGAGAATAAAAATATTAAAATTTAATGTAGCCAATAAAAAAAAATTGCTGTATATCAAAATCTATCTATTTTAATTCTATTAGTTGCAGAGGTACAGAAAAAAAAACAACTAATTCAAAAATTCTTGTTACACAAATTTTTTTAATTTTAACTAAATATAGGTATACGTCACCGTTTTCGCGATCCCTATGTTGAGCACGATTATAAATTGAATCACCCTATATTATTCTTATTAATTTTCAAGTTATATAGAAGGTGTAAGTACAAAGAATTAAATAACATTATTCAATGCTGTCTTCCGATGTATTTGTAGTTGCCAGTTTCTATTCTATACAAAAATTTACATACATATTGGAAAATGTATCAAATTCCATGAACACAAATCAAGCCCAGTTTATTTAGGTATTGGAATTCATTTTTTTAAAAGAATAAAAATACAGACAAAAAAGATAAATGCAGATGTAACTGCTACTATAATATTTGAACAATTTGAATTATTCAAAATTATTAACTGTTTAATTAAATAATATGCAAATATTTTTATAATAAATACAGGATAGTTATATTTTACCTGTAATTTATGTTTTTTTTATGAAATGATTACATTATTATAGTTTGCAACACGAATGTTTACACCAATAATGTTTACGTTTACATCACACCATAACACCATATACATTTATGACATAGACATATGCATATGTTATGTTGGCTATCCTGTATGTTAAATGATGTTGATGTATATTCATATTTGTATATTTAAAGTTGGTAGTAACGTTTATCTATCTTTTGAGATTTTACTGACGTGTACAGGTTATGTGGAATATTTTTGTTTTAATACCTAGTAATGATGTTAAATTTTTAATTTAGTACACAAATTAATTTTTTAAGAGTAATGGGTACTGCAGTTAGTAGAAATTTAGATATATCTTCCAATGAATATTGTCTAAAATTTGCCGGAAAAGAAACCATAATTCCAAATGATCCCTTTTGGAATAGATTTTTAGCTTTCAATATTACACCTCCAACAACTACGTAAGTCCAATATAAAATAAAAATATCAGTAATAAAGGTATTGTATTTTAGAAATGATCAACTTGCTCTCGAGTCAAGACTGGAGCCTATTTGCCAGGAATTTCTAAAAAACAATTTGCATTCAGGGAATCTTGGTTCTATTATTCATCTATTTTTAATAAAATCGACAGAACTATTATCTGCAACCAATACTGATGCGTAAGTTTTAACTAAACATTTTTACTATATAGCACAAGACACTTGTTAATAACATATTTACTTAGTTATTTTTTTTAGTAGACTCTTCAACTGGCAACTATTTAATACCTTGTTTACAATAAGATGTGCGCTAAAATTTCTATCAGAGACTACAACTGAAGAGCAATTAATAGAACATATCGAATTTAAAGGCAGTGGAAACACATTTGAATCATTTGTCGGTGCTCTTGTGGGCATTATTGTTGATGTCCCAATCAACAATCAAACGTATTTAATCCATTTAGAAGCAGTGACTTGTTTATTGGTGTTTTTATCTATACAAATCCATTCTGGCAGAAGGTCTGACCAGAGCAATGTTTACCGTGTTATTATGAAAGGCAAACATGTTATTCATGCACCGGTCTTGATTAGAAGTCTTTTAACAAATTTTATCAATCAAGAAAAGTTACCTCCTGGATATGGGGGAGGCCATGGGCACAGTATTGTATTAGGTACATATTAACAGTATAAATTCACCAAATTTAAAAATGAGGATCGATTGTACCGTTCTTATCTGTCCCAAGTAATATGATAAATAATTATTAATATTTTTAGGTTTAGCATCTGATTTGTGGTCGATTTTAACTTTCAGTAGGAAATCATCTGAAGAATTAACTGTTCCCGACCAAAATGACTTCCAACTAACGCCACTGGCTACACAGAGTTTATTACTAATTTTAGTTTTGGTCCACCATTGGACTACCCAGTCAAATCCATACAGAAGTTCTTTATTTTCCTGTTTAAACAGTCTAGGTATTATAATAAATTAATTAATTACAATTTTAAATTGTACAGGGTGTTCTCAAGATTGAGTAATTTTTCTGTTTCTGTAAATTTGTGCATTGTTTAAAAAACAAAAAATACTATCACACAATGTTCAGACTAGCCTTTTGCGGTAAATTGGTAAATGGACATGCTGGGAGTAACGATTTTTTATTTATTACTATCTTGATTATTTTCCTCTGCATCTTGTTTAAAAAATGTCTGAACTGTGAGAACACTAGTTACAGCAATAAATTAGTTATTTTGTAGATAATTGAAAAAACCTTAATGTGATTTAATACAATGGAGGGACTCTAATACTATTATTTTTATTTCAGACAATAGTCCAGTACCACCTTCAAATGCGTCTTCTTTATTTAAGGTAGATTTTAATGCCCTGTACCTAACATTATGTAAAAAGGCATCTGGGGATGCCGCTACTTTACTTTTATATTTATTGTTACATCGAAATTCTACATTTAAGAGGCATCTTCTTAGTCGAATGGATTTAGAGCAACTAGTAAGTGTAATTATTATTTCTCAAGAGTAATAAATTATTTAAATTCGAAAAACTTATAGAAACTTGGCTGTAACTTTGTTGAATATTCTCCGTATCTGTAACATATTTTCAATTCACTTTGTGTATTGGATGATTCAGAACATCCAAAAAAAAAATCAAAAAGGGCAGTTCAAAAATGATTTACACTTCTGCATGGCACTGGAAACTGGTCCACTGTCCACCTGACATCTCACAATGCGACCAGCATGGTGGCAAAGTATGATAAAAACGGACAAAAACTTTCGCAAGGAAAGAAATAAATAGAATTAATAAAATTAGTTTGTGGTTTTTAAATAATAAAATACCTGATGTTACAACTTTTCAAAATTTTATGCACCGACGTGTAAACACAAATGTTGTCTTGCTTCAACAAAATTAAAACGATATCCATGAACTCCAAGTTGCTATACACGCAAGCCATTTTTGACACTAACTACTAAAAAACTATTGTAAACACAACCACAGTAAACACTATTGCAACGACGATTGTAAAATGGGATTTCAGTATTCGGAGTAGCTGAGGCCACATGGCTCCACGCGTATTGCGCTAGAGACTACAGTTGTCCAGCTATGTAATGGTTGAATGTATTACAACTTCAATAATTTTACAATTTTTTTTTTTACGATATCGACACAATTTCTCACACCGCATCTATTCCCAAATTTTTTTGGATCAGTTATGAATCACCCTTTATGTATGTAAAACTGTCACAGATTCTTGGGGTCGAAATAAGGTGATTTAACTAAATTTACCTAGGTTTAAAGTTGCTTCATTTGCCACTAAAGTTTTAAATTTTAGATTTTTCCAAATAACTGAAATGTTTTGCCAATCAAAATGATATTTAGATACTAATTCTTGTGTGTAGGTGTCACAATTGACAGCAATAATTACATTATAGAAATGGAAAAAATACTCCCACTCATATTTTTACAGAAAGTAAAAAAATAAAAAAATTAAGTCGACTTCAGTTCTCATTTTATCACCCGAACAGTTTTGTTATAAATTCATTATTTTGTATGAGATGAGAGATTTTTTTGTAGTAAATGTGAGATGTGAAAATAGTGATTAAATTTAGATAACCATAAAGTTATCTGTATCAAAAATGCATTAATAATGAATTAAGCAAAAACGTTGGAAAATACAATATTTACAGGAGAAAAAAATTGAAAAATGTCATGTATAACAAAATATGTACTGAAGTCCCTAGATTATTCCAATTTTGTCCCAAAATATGGGTTTAACAAAAGCCACTTTTATGTTTGTTTGCAAATATTCTACTGGATATTAATTACCTACATTTTTGTAATATGTAGCTACTCTTTATAGCAAAAGACTATCCAAATTTAATCCTGTACCATTTTAAATTATGAAATAATTATTACGTTCACATTATTGACCAATACGAAAAAATTCACTCCAGTGAATTAATAAAAGTTTGAACAATATTTCAGTTTTTCTTTTAACCTACGTTTTAAATTACATTTTTTACATCCTATACAAATATAATGAAAATTCAGTTATATTTCAAGGTTGGTAACAAGGAATTTGTCCTAAAAATAGCGATTATTGCAGTACTTTATCAATCTAGGAACTTTTAATATACAGGGTGATTCACAACTTATCCAAAAAAATTTGGGAATAGATGTGGCATGAGAAATTGAGTCAATATCGTAAAAAAAAAATTTTTTAAATCCTTATAGTTTCCGAGAAAAAAATTATTGAAGTTGTACTACTTTCAAACGCTACATCGTTGGACAACTGTAGTCTCTAGCATCATTCGTAATACGCGTAAAAGCCACGTAGCGTCAGCGACTCCCAGTACAGTCATCGTTGCAGTAGTGTTTACAATAGCTTTTTAGTACCCAATTAGTGTCCAAAATGGCTCGTGTATAGCAACTTAGAGTTGATATATATCGTTTTAATTCATGGTGAAGCAAGACAACATTTGTATTATTGTGAAACATTTGTGTTATGGTGAAGCAGGACAACATTTGTGTTAGTTCTTAGAAACGTAGTAAGACAGGACCAAATGTGTTTATACGTCGGTGGACAAAATTTTGAACAGTTGTTGTAACATCAGGTATGTCAAATTATTTTATTAATGAAAACCACAAATTATTTTATTAATTAATAATAACAATAGCGGCAAAAGCAGTTGAATTTGCTGATATAAAATAGGTGCTATAAAATTCTATTTATTCCTTTCCTTGCGAAATTCTTTCAAGTTGTTGTCCGTTTTTATCACTGCCGCCGTAACGGTCACATTGTACGAGGTCAGGTTTTACAGTGGACCATTTTCCAGTGCCGTGCAGAAGTGTATTTTTAAATTATTTTCAAACTGCCCTTTTTGATTTTTTCTTTACAAAATTGTATTTGTAAGAGTCCCCTGTACATCCAGAATTTTTTTTTTTTAGTAGGCTGAATCACCCTGTATATTTGTCATTATTAATTTCCTTTATATATTTTCAGATCATACCAATTTTAAAAACCCTGTACAATGCCCCAAATAGTAATTCCCATCATATTTACATGTCGTTAATAATTCTGCTCATATTAAGTGAAGACGATTCATTCAATAAAATGGTACACGAAACGGTAAGTTATTTTTAAAATTCGTCAAGTAATATTTAAAAACGCACAGTGCACTCTCGTATGAAAAAAAATTATATAATTTTTTTGATGATGAATTTTGTCAAATTTGGCAATGACTTTTTTCACAATGCACATTTTTTAGAAATTAAAAAATATAACGTGGTACACAGAAAGAGCGTTGACTGAGATATCACTAGGAGGACTTCTGATTTTGGTTGTTATAAGGACAGTGCAATACAATATGTTGAAAATGAGAGACAAGTATCTTCATACAAACTGTCTGGCTGCCCTGGCCAATATGTCGGCACAGTTTAGAGAGTTACATCCTTATGTTAGTCAGCGTCTCGTTTCATTATTTGAAACCCTGGCAAAGAAATACCTGAGGCTGGTGAAAAGACTGAAAACTGAGAAAAGCCAAAAAGCAAAGGAGGTAGCAATAACGGTAAATCAAGATTTTACAGACATGGAACAGGACTTGTCGGTGCTCGAAGAAGTCCTCAGGATGGTCTTGGAAATTCTAAACTCCTGCCTGTCGACACAACTAACAAATAACCCAAACTTAATTTACACCTTGCTTTACAATAGACACATGTTCGAGTCTTTCAAGGATAATGTCGTTTTCCATGACATAATCTTTAATATCAACATTATTATTAAGTACTTTTCACAGTTATTGACTGATAAATCGCAGCAGTATGAAGTCGACGCTCATCAAGTCTTACTTGTCATACAGCAGGGTGCTAAAAATTGGCCTAAAGACAAGTTAACGGTAAGAACACTCACACTACCTAACACCGATTGCTATAAAATTATGTTTGCAGAAATTTCCCGATCTAAAATTTAAATATGTCGAAGAAGATCAGCCCGAAGATTTTTTTATTCCATATGTATGGGCATTAGTTAGTCAACAATCTGTATTACATTGGACAAATGATACTTCGCCAATTTTATCCGCAGTTTGCTAGTAATCAATACATTACTGACAATATCTGTAAAATGTATATAATTAGATATTTTATTTTATGTACCTTAATATCCTAAAATATTTCTGTTAATGTTGTTGATTACCTTTTATAAGAATAATAACTTAATATATTTGTTAGTATAAATATATCTTATTTGGCATTACCTTCAGCAAACCCGCAGCAATCGTCCAGTGCCACAGGGGCCTGTGTTGATTTAAATAATTTCTGGGTCAGTTGTCATCAGTTTAGTTACACTCCTTAATTTTTTGAAAGATGTACTGTCTTCAGAAGAAACGGCTTCTAATAGGGGGGTCTGCCCCCACAGAGCCTTGTCCGAGAATAACAAGGGCTGGTCAAAGTTTCGTAGATAAAGAAGTGAGAGGTTATTGTGTAACTTGCAGCGACCAGGTATAGAGGCCACAGCACACGGTGGTCAAAAACTATAAGTTCTTGATCTAAATCTATAGTTCTTAGAGTAATCGTCCTATTGCAGGGAAATTTTAGATTCCGGTGTTTTTTATACCCTACAATCCATTGGAGGTAATAATATTAACTATACTCTAGATTTCAACTCCTTTTTAAAGTTGAAATTCATAAAATTGAAACGACTGTTGAAATGGAATGTAACGTATTCTATTCTGATGTTTGTTCACGAATCTCCTGAATTTTTTTACGTTTAATAACAACAGAACAATCTTCGAAATTCTTAGAGGGACGACCACCTCTTTCTGATGTAGACACTTTACGAGAATCCTGCAGACAGCGAACAGCTATCTTCGGGAAATTTATTTCTTCATTTAGGCAATTTTCGAATTTACTTAAGAAATGCTTGTTTTTCGACTTACTTTTCTCCAGCTGGCAAAATAAGGCGCAAAGAATGCTTTTCCTGTATGTGGTAAGGGTTCTCGTTACATTTTCATTTTTTCAAAATTTGAGTGGAAATGCTCCTTTAGAAAGTCAAGCACACGGTTTTTCGCACTTCAACTGATTCACGTGAAAATTCCATCATTATTTGATGTAATTTCAGGCGTGTTATTGGTTCATGGGCAGTTGTAATAAAAGATAATAATAAACAACGAAAAACAGTGCAAATAACGACACAGAACAAACAAAAACAGAACGGAAAAAGTCACTGGAGCACACTAAATACTGTCCGACACAAAAACGGGTGAATAACTGAAGTAAATCCATTTGTACGCCCCGTATAAATACGTCATTTACGGCCTTATCTGCAGATAAATTAAATGTAATTATGTTCCCAGGAATCCTGGCATTAATTTGAGAGGTATACGGAAGTATAGTCTCGTGTAGTACTAAATGAGATAACGGCCTAAATTAAGAGAATTTGCCGAAAATTACCTGCTGGCTATAATCAGTTAAAAACCATTAAGGCTTAATTAAAAAATTACCTCAGGTATATGAATAGAATGACAAAAGACCATACTTTTAAGCCCTGTATAGTATAAATAAATATATAAAGGCCTGAATGTTGTACTGAAGCTGTCAAACATTGGCTTTTTTTCAAAAGATAAAACGATACAATAATTTGCGTTATTTTTAACAGATTTAAACGTTTATAACTTTTATATGGAAGCTTAAATTAACCCACTATATTCTGAAAAATTAGTTCAGTATTAGGGGTATCTACCATGTAAATTTTAGCATTAAAGAAAAAAGTGCAATTTTTAGGTTTCTATTAGGTTTTAAGCATTATTATCCACTGTGCAGCATAACTACCCAAAAAAAACATTGTACTTTAAATATTAGCACGGGCTGTGAAAGCTTTAAAACTACTATTACAGATACATGCATAGACCAGGCAAGTTAGACAATAAATCAGAATTTTTTTTCTGATGAACCAATCGAGTTGCGGTTTTCGGCGTTGTCTTCGGAAAAATATCAGGAAAAAAAGTCTATCTATTACACTTTGGGGCTGGATCGAAACTGCATTGCGGGTGCATAAAGTGCATCTTGGAGTGCATCAATTTTTCCAAATTTTCTAAAAATGGTAAAAATTGACTAAAAGTTGTAGAAATTTCTGGGGCCCCCCAGGAGGGCAAGGGGGGCCTTCTGTAAAACATCGAATAGCTGAGTAATTGCTTCTACTCGGAGGTTTTCGGGGTCGGGGATTTCGATACTGACTCTGAAAGGTATGCCCGACGCCCCTGGGCCCCCCAGGGGGGCAAGGGGGGGCCTTCTGTAAAACATCGAATAGCTGAGTAATTGCCTTCTAAATCCCCACTCGAGGGTTTTGGGATCGGGGATTTCGATTATGACACTGAAAAGTATACCCGACGCCCGGGGCCCCCCAGGGGGGCAAGGGGGGCCTTCTGTAAAACATCGAATAGCTGAGTAATTGCCTTCTAAATTTCCACTCGGGGGTTTTTGGGGTCGGGGATTTCAATTCTGACACTGAAAAGTATGCCCGATGCCCCTGGAGCCCCCAGGGGGCAAGGGGGGGCTTCTGTAAAACATCGAATAGCTGAGTAATTGCCTTCTAAATTTCCACTCGGGGGTTTTTGGGGTCGGGGATTCCGATTCTGACACTGAAAAGTATGCCCGACGCCCGTGGGGTGGGCTTTCTGGAAAACATCGAAAGGCACATCAGATTTTTGCAATAAAACTGCTCCACCCGCTTACCAACCATGATCTTGTAGGCTTATCTTTACATTGTAACACACGTAAATTTACAGAGATTAGACAAGAAGGGTAAGAAAAACTAACAGGAAATTAATGAGTCGAAAAGAATCCCCTTTATTCTGAGAACCAATTTTCTTTTTATTTGCAAGGCAATTAGTGAGACAACTACTATCATATGTTTATCTAACACTTTCACTATCAATCACAATTTTCATCATCAGTACTGTCATCACTGTCTCCATCACTATCATCTATTACATTTTCGACTATTTCAGGATTGGAACAGTTGGTTCCAAAACAATTTGTACATGCAATTGTGCATGTAATTCCATGCTTCCTGCATCCACAAGATCTGCATTGTCGATAATCGGATTTTATCGCCTAATTGTTATGCATTATCCGCAGTCGCACGGGCCCAAGAGGTTCTTTTGAAAATCCATGATCCATGAAATATTCTTCGGTTTTAAGGAATATTTCTTTGAACGAAATGTGTCTCTTGGGAACGGATTGTCCAGGATTTCTCCAGTTCTACGACAATTTTTCTCAGTGATAGACAAGCCAAGATTAATGGATATTTTCCAGTGGTGTCAGATTCGGAATCCCCGACCCCGAAAACTCTCGAGTAAAAATTTAGAACGCAATTACTCAGCTATTCAATGTTTTACAGAAGGCCCCCCTGGGGGGCCCCAGGGGCGTCGGACATACGTTTCAGTATCAGAATCGAAATCCCCGAGCCCAAAAACGCACGGGTGGGGATTTAGAAGGCAATTATTCAGCTATTCAATGTTTAACAGAAGGCCCCCCGCTTGCCCCCCTGGGGGCCCCAGGGCCGTCGGGCATATTTTTCAGGGTCAGATTCGGAATCTCCGACCCGAAAACCAAATTTCTGCAACTTTTTGTCAATTTTTACCATTTTTAGAAAATTCGGCAAAAATTGATGCACTCCAAGATGCACTTTATGCACCCGCAATGCAGTTTCGATCCAGCCCCAAAAAGTAATAGATAGACTTTTTTCCTGATATTTTTCCGAAGACAATGCCGAAAACCGCAACTCGATCGGTTCATCAGAAAAAAATTTCCGTATCCGGGGGAATTTGGGCCGAACTGCCCGGAACAACAAAGTTAAAACAAAAAATGGGGTAATTTTAAAGTTAAAAAAGGCAAAAGGAAAAAAAAATACATATCCCCAGGAATATGTACCGCACACAGAAGTTTTGTTACATATCCCCGAAGATATGTATCTCAGTCATAGAAAATGGAATATTTCTTGTATATTATTTTTTCTATGATCTCAGTCACGGACAAAGTTCATTGAGATTATGTCGCAGTCAACGTGTTAATTATTAATCGTAGATAGGGAGATTAATGAATTTGGTTATACTAATGATATATTGTGCCCTAAAAAAATAGTATGGTCACTACTTTCTCATTTTTAGATAGTTTGATTGAAATAATCAAGTTGCTTTGGAAAAGTATTATACTATCATTTTTCAGTTTTTTCGTATCTATTCAAATAAGTCAAACAAAATACCAAGGTTTAAGAGTTATTTGTGTCACTTATCCTGTACATTTATTGTTTTTACTAGAATTTTTCACTTTAATAAGGAATTGTTAATAACTTGGAAAATATTTTTTTTTTCCTCCACTCCAGCCCTATTGTATTGTTGCTATTTTTAGTTTCCCCTCACTTTTCTTATGAAAAAGTGGTCTCAGTTAAATTGGCTGAAATTTGTATGTTACAGCTCCTAACCTTCCGATCAAGTCTTCATTGGTGCAATATCTAAGTCAGTTTTCGAGTTACGTCGACTTTAGAGCAATAACTCTGTATTCGTATTTTTTGCCGTTTGCATTTGCATTACCCAAGGTGTACCACATGGAGGTTGCAAAATTGGTCCAACACCTCTAGGGTGATTTTTTACTGTGAGTTCCCCTTGCCTCTCACTAATTTTGGTACATCTACAGGGTTCGTAGGGGCCGGGAAAAGTTAGGGAATTCGTTATTCTTCTTAAAAAACAGGGAATAGTCAGGGAATTTTAAAAATATTCATGAGTCAGGGAATTTGATGTTTACAACTGGAAATTTTGTGAATGCCGGCCCTGGGTTCTTGAAAGAGAAAACTATTTGTGATTTTGAAACCTTTATAAGAGGTTCTTAGGGTATAAAAAAGATTATGGAGTCCAGTCGAGAAAAAATATAATGCATAAACTCATAAACACCAATTAGTATGGAAAAATGAACTACAAATGACCTGGTTTTTTTTTTTTTTGATGTCAGGGAAAACCTGGAAAAGTCAGGGAATTCTTTATTACTTTTGAACTATGAACCCTGAATTCTAAATGTATGTATTTTATTTTCATGGATCCAATATATCATCAATTTCTATGTGATTTTATCTGTTGTGACTATCATTACACGTCACGCGGGTAATGTATATTTTGTCGATATCATGCAAAACTCAAATACCAGAACCAGAACATGCAAAACTCAAATACCAGAACCAGAACATGCAAAACTCAAATACCAAAACCAGAACATGCTGGCTACGTGAACTCAACAACCTTATGTTCTTGCACCAGTCTTACAAGTAAAATAATATATGGTTCAGTCACATAAAATACTAACAGTTGATGTTTCATTGCAATACGGAAACATGAGAAAATTCTGATCCGTAGAAAACCTGGTTCTAGAACGTGTTCATCAAATTTGAATACTTCCGTTCCTTCTATATCAAGCTTATTTTGAACATAAGATGGAGCTAAACCAACCTGGTAAACACCAATGTAAATAATTGAGGTCAAATCTAGGAAATTCTCTGGCATGATTTTTATTAAGTTGGATCCTTCTAAAGAGATTTTTGGCTTCAATTCGAGTTTGAACTATATTCACATCATTAATTCTTTGATGCAATTCTCTTGCTAACGGAACAGTAGCATCCTGCATAACTAACAAATAATCTGTTGACAAAATCAAGATTCAGGGCTAAACTCAACCGTTTTCACATATACAAGTAGTTTTTGAGTCGTGGTACAAAAGCCACCCAAAAGAGGTGTTGGACCGATTTTGCAAACTCCTGGTGGTACACCTTGGGGTAATGCAAATGCAAACGGCAAAAAATATTAAATAACATTTTTTAACCCCTTCAAATACAGAGTTATTGCACTTAACGTAACTCAAAAACTATGAATTTTTTGATATTGCGCCAATGGAGACTTTTGATCGGCAGATTAAGAGCTGTAACAAAAATTTCAGCCAATTTAACTGAAATCACTTTTTCATAAGGAAAGTGCGGGGTCCTTTAATCGTATATGACTGTTTGTTCTTTTCAACGATTTCAGTCATTTAGGTACATATTAAATTCCTCAAAAATAATTGAAACTCGTTCATTATCTGCACATACTTTAGAATAGTATACACACAACATAAAAATTAAGTCACAATAAAAATACCCAGTACGACAGCTGTAAGAAATGATTTTGTTCATGCACATGACTTGATGTACTTTTACACTGATTGGCACTCTATATCAATGTAATAAGACATTTATAAATTTCTTTTAATGCACAGACACCAAATGCGATATTTAGACCATAGTGCAAACGCCACATATTCCATTATCCCGCTGCCCAATTTACACACCGAAGAGCCAAACTCTAGTTGTTATATTTGTTGGTCATTTTATATAATTGAGAAGAAAGATTTCATGCAGTTGATGTCAATAACTCAACTGCCTAATGGCACATATGCAATTTTTAGTTCGGGTATAAATGTACTTCGCTCTCTATACAACATAACTTTTTTTAACTTGACATGACAAGGTATACTTTATCTTTATGTAAAATTCAAAGTTTCTAAACTTCATTTTTATTTAAAAAAAAAAACAAACAAATTAGCCAAATTACTTTCCACCACCCTTGTTCTTCTCTCTAATTTGAGCTTTACTTCGGTTCCTGAACACCTCCTTCTTTTTCTGCTTCAGTTTTCTCTCTTTGCTAGCCTCCTGAGCCGCGATATTCTGCCTGTGTTTTTCCAATCTCTCCTTTGTTTCCTTTTTCAGCTTCTCTTGTTTGTGTTCATAAGTGGCTTTAATCATCTTTATCATAGCCGACACCTAAACCGAAAATATTAAAAAATAAAATTCGGGTAAAATAATTACTTTCATTACCTTTTGTTCATGTGGCTCACGAATGACGGCAACTCTATCGATGCCCTTCTTTCTCTCTGATACCTTGATGCCATGATTAGGTTTGTCTCTATAGGGTAATGCCTTTTGTAACTTCTGAGGGATGATTAGTGGCTTAAACGGCTTGGGTTGCCTATTGATAGGCTAAAACAGAAAATTTTAATGAGAGGATTTAAATATATATAAAGCAATTTACTTACTGTGTATAAACTATCTTTGTGGGCAGGATTTTTTATTCCTTCCTCCCGTTTTATCTCACCAGTTGTCCTGATCCCTCTCCATGCATTCTTTTTACCAGACGGTAACAGCAACGTATTGACAGGAGCATAAAATTCAGGTACATCAACTCTGTACCAAGTTCTACAGAAAACAATATCTGAAAAGCACATAAAGTATCAAGCAATAAATATGTAAAAACCGAAAATATTCTCATTAACTACCACCAGTGGAGTTTAGTTGTAGGATTAAAAGTGTTACTTTTGTGGCAATTTTGTATTTGTGAGACGAAGCGTAGGTAGTCGAGCAGATGCAAAATTTGCTTGCCACAAAAGTAACACTTTTAATCCAAATAAAACATGTTTATTTTCTCCAACCAAAATCCCCCATTTTATTATGGATTTGTGCTATGAAATTATTCAAACCAAATTTGGATAATAAAGCAAAGTATGTAAGTAGGATATAACGATATAGTTTATTGATAATTTGTCAAATAATAGTCGCCATATTGCTAATTGAGTTCATTTGTGATTGTTTGTGGTAGAATTTGCTGAAAACTTTGTAAAAATGGAATCTAATGAAGATTTTGGTGTACCTGAGGAGATACTGGAGTGTGCGAAAGAGGTTTCTTTGAATCTTCTCCCAAAGAAATCTTGAGAAATTTATGAATGTGTCTACCAACGTTTTATGGATTGGTGCAAAGAAAAAACATTAAGTTGTATTCAGAAGATGTATTGTTAGTGTATTTCTCTAACTTATCAAATAAAATGAAGCCATCAAAGCTTTGATCACAATATTCAATGTTGCGATCAACGTTGGATATAAAGAAGGGGATTGATGTAAGCGAATATTCAAAGTTACATGCTTTTCTCAAGAGACAAAATGAGGTATATGTACCGAGTATTTACAAAGGAACAAGTTGATTGCTTTTTGAATAGTGCAACTTATAATTTATATTTGATGATGAAGGTAAACGCTTTAAAAATAAAGGAACAAAATTTTTAAAAACTTATTTGTAGGTCGTCCTAATATTGGGGGTTGCAGGCGCATGCCGTTCTGATGAATTAGTGGATTTAACAATTGATAATGTTGAAGATGTGAAATCCGCCTTAATTATAAAAATTTCCAATACCAAAACCAAGAGACCACATTCTATTACTGTGCTGGGCGACAATTATTTAAGTTTTTATCGAAAATATGTTGCTTTATGTCCACCCGAATTGGTAGAATGTCAATTATTTCTCAGATATGTTAGTGGAAAGTGTCATCAAATAGTAGTAGTTGGTATTCATAAAATTAGTGCCGTCTCCCAAGAAGTGGCAAAATTTTTGAAGCTAAACAACTGAAAAGAGTACAGTGGACACGCATTACAATGAACGTCTGCTACTCTTTTGGTTGACGGCGGTGGTGACTTTATTTATCTTAAAAGACACGGAAGAATGAGATCGAGCACCGTGATGGAAAGCTACAATGACGACTCACTTTTGAATAAAATATTGCGAAAATAATACTGTAAGTTGATAGTGGTAATGATAATCCAAGCACTGTTGTCATTTCTGATTTCACAATATCTGAAAATAATATAAATATTAATGAAAACGTGTTCGACTGCTTTGAGAATTGCTCCAAGAATGATGGTTGTGGCAATTTCAGTGGTTTATTTAATTTTAATACTTGTTCAAACTGTGTATTTAATATCAATGTAGATAAACAAAAATTATTGTAAATATTATTGAATAAACTTTTATAAATTAGAACTTGATTAACACTTTTAATCTAAAGATTTAGGGCCAGTACTTTCAGTTAGACTTTAACCGTTTGTTTCGGTTACTTTCAAGCACTGTCTACTACTGACCAGGGGTCAAAGTGGGCGTGTCCGTAGTTCAATTTAATCGGAGCATCTAGCCACGATTACCGACTGATTAACGTGGTTTAGCGGGAAACATATTTTGATACTTTTGACAGAATTGACGTTTTTAAAAACATGGATTTAAATGAATTGGAGGAGCTATTTGATGGTAATGATCAAATACGTTAATAATAATTTTTGTACATATGAAGTGAAACACGCATTAATTATTTTGGGACAATTTTTTAACAGATTTTGGTTTTCCAAAAACACTGTTAGGGCAATCTTGTTCCCAGCAATAGAACATATTTTGAACCATTTGAACCTGCAATAGCAGTATGTAATATTACAATATTATATCTTCACCTTTTATATTTTAATTCAATTGTAGTATAATGAATTTTCCCTAAGAGTTGCCCCATCAGTGTTTTTGTTTTCAATTATTTTTAGTTCTGTTGCCATTAATTCATTAGGAGACCGATTTCATGCTCAGTAAAATTTGTTCCTTTTTTCTTGCTACCCATTATAGTTTAAGATCTTTGAATAAATATATCACACAGCAAAAGGAATTAATAAATCAGATTTGACAAGAAATGTATGACACATGACATGCATCATAACAAAATTTAAAATTTGTGTATGACGTACGTCTTTCCTACTATCCTAATTCAAATCCTGGGTTAAATCACATACTTCTGGATAGAAGTATGTGGGTTAAATATGAAAATTATTTAGTGCATATGTGATTAATTAATTCCCGTTCAAAATTTGCATCATATAATGTCAAAAAGAAGAAGAAAACGAAATAAGCAGATGAAGTGCAACCAACCTAAAAATTGCAAGATTATCTTATGTCAAAATGTCAACCTTGCAGACTTCTAACAGTCAAAAAATGTGTTGTGACGGTTGGAGAAAAAATAAATTAAATCTGACACTAGAAGTGGCATACGTTACTTTGCCAGCATAAAAACACAAATCTATATAAATATTTGGTGCATTGTTCTTAAAAATTGCAGTTATTTGTCAGTTACCAGAGCAGTCACAGGTGTCATTGCTCTAAAAAAAGCACAGTCGCATCTCTACTTTGTTCAAATATTTTATAAAGTAAGAGTACTTACCACTTAACTGAATTTTATCTTCAAATGTAGCACGAAAGCATCCCTCTGGTTTATTAACAGCCTTTTTTATTTGTCCTCTGATACCAGAAACCGTTTTAATACGTGCTCCCTCAAACTTAGCAACTTCCAACGCAGAGTTAAACATTCCTTTAACAAATGCTGTCTTTTTGTATATCTTTAGTGGGTAGCCGATAAGTTTTAATTTTTTCATTATTTGTGTAGACTTATCTAATTCTTGAACAGTTCCCGTGGCTGCGATTCTGAAGCCTAATTTTTTAACTACCTTTAAAAAAATACAATTAAAAAATATATATAATAGTCACTTACACTTACTTCTTGTGAGGAGTCGACGACTTGCAACGCCAAAAAACCTGTACCTTGAGGCGTGATCGGTCCCCAAAAGTGGGCGTTGCAGGCAAGATGCTCTGGAGTGTATTTTAAATATCTGTATTTCAAATCGTCCTCTAATTTGGAATAAAGTGGTATTGTTTGGAACCTTCGCCATCCCAAGGAAATTATTAACGGATCATTTGTTTTCAATATTTTATTATACCATCGATGTTTCTTTATTCTAACATTAACGTATCCTATATTTTCTTCACCCATATTGAGGGCTCCTATAACCAACGGGTAAGTCGGATCAAAATTAGTGATAAACTCGGCAGGCACATTCTCAAATTCTATTCGAACATACATTCCAGCTCTAAATCCTTCAATCTGCACCCTAACCTCATCAGGCATGCTATCGAAAACTGTTTTGTTCAACTGAGCTTGTTTTTCAGCCGTCATTTTCAGATCATCGTAATAACTGGTCTTTTCAGTATTATCATACTCTGCATCAAATTTTTCTTTCAGCTTCCTTTTCTTCTCGACAAGAGCTTGCTTGTCGGCTTCTTCATCTTTCTCACTATCTTTTCTTTTACGCTTTTCTGCCTGTTTCTGATCGGTTTTCAGTTTTGATGTTTCAAATTTCTGTCCTGTTTCGAGATCTTCAAAGTCGCCGAATATTTCTGAGTTTACATCACTTAAATCTTCAGTGTCGTCTAACTTCAGGAGTTCTGCTGCATCTTCCGATTCTTTCCACTTTCCGGTTACAAAACAGTTAGCAATAAGAGCTTTGTTCTGAAAAATATTAAGTGTTTTTTTATTTTGATGTTTCATTTCTCAGTAATGAAAGAGGAATTTTTTTATAATAATGTGCAATTTTCAACATATACAGGGTGCAAGAAAATAAGTTATTTCTAGAAATAAAAATAATAATTGTCAAGCCCCTCTCCTTATTTGGGTGGGTCAGCATATTGTTACAAAATCAGTCACTAACAGTTTCTTATCAATAAAACACACTCGAAGCGAAATATTAAACTTTTCTTGATCAATGTTATTCCATATTTCTACAAGAATGTTTTCAGTATCATCTAGTCATGTACGTTTAACCAAAGAAAACGCAGACAAAAATAACTTTATCGTTATCGTAAGTACCGCAAACACCTCTGTGTCAATGTTTCTATGCTATATTATGTTATTGAGATATCCCAATAATGTGTAGGTAGTAGAGTGCCCATTTTGTCACACATGTTTTGTGAAACCCTTGATGCCTAATATCTCTAATGCAGAGATTACCCAATCTTAATGACTCACCCTGTATAAGGGCTTAAAATACATATAATTTGGAATTTTTGAAACAAAAAACAACTTTTAATGGTATGAGAAATGTGTAAATACAAATATAAAAATGATCAATGTAGAAAATTGAGAGAATTCTATTAATGACTTACCTCTGTATCTAGCCAGTCTCTTGTCGAAGCGCCCCAAGGTAACATTAATGATGACTCAGTTAAATTCATGCTATCTTTATTAAGTTTTAACTTTTCTTGATCCCTTGACACTTTCTTAAAAAGTCCTCCTATATTATCTTCGTCATCGCTACTACTTTCACTTTCTTGAGTCACAAAATTATGTTTGGAATCAAATACACCTAAAGGAAATATACATACTGGTTAAATCAATAGTTCTGACACTTATTACCACATAATATTTTGCATTTTTCATTAAAAATTAAGACTAACTTACCATATACTAATTTCATTATATTATGATTTGTATTTTGACGGTTCACGAAAGAATCTTTGGCTTTTTGGGCTAAATTTTCCTTCCACTTTACATCCATACCATAGACATCACTATTGTCTTCACTGTCTTCATTATTATCCTCCAAATTTTCATCACTTTCGGAATCTTGCTCACTATTTGATTCTTCCGAGGATTCTTCATGTTTATCAGAGTGTTCATCACTATCTGAACCTTCATTATTATCTTTATCATTACTTACGAGATTGATTTCACCATAAAAAAAAATACCATTTGCTTCTGAAGTACTTTCTTCATTTACTTCCTTGGAATTTTGGATAGATTTGTTACCGTCTTCTTTTCCTGAAGTGGTTTCTTTAAAACTAAGCTGTTTTAAGACGCTGCTAACCTTATCGTGAATATCTTTATCTTTATTCACCCTTAAATTTGTGTACTCGAACGAAGTACTCACTACTTCTTTGATTCCATCTTCATCATTGTCACTACTTTTATATTCATCTTCACTATTATCACTTAAATTATTTGAATAATCTTCATCGGTAGTGTCAAAAACTACTTTTCTTCTAATTCTTCCATTATTCTCCACACGTTCCTCATGAAAATTATATATGTTTTCTTTTCGCAATTCTTTCAGTTCAGCGTCTAGGTCACTGTCTTCTTTTTCATCGTCCCTTTTTTCATATAATTGTACGTTTTCAGTTACATGTTGTTCATTTTCAACTAAATCTTTAGCTGTAAGTTCATCACCTCCCGTAAAAAGTTGAATTTTTGAGTGTTCCAATTTCACGTCTAGGGTAGTTTTATTTTTCAACAAATTTGCAATCATAGCACTTGTTTCATCATCTGTTCTTTTACTGTGACTATGTGAACCTCCTAGCTCGATATAAACGGCATCTTTATCATATACTATACCACCAACACCCGAAAAGGGAGCATAAACAAATTTTTCCTTTTCAATCAAAGCCCTCTTTTTAATCTGTTCCGGTAATGGACACGGATCCGGAAGACAGGAAATATCACATATTTTGAGATCTCCCAAACCTGAAAGATATACTTATTAGACAGTATGTAAAAATTATCTAAAAACATTTTACCAGCAATGTGTACCGCAGTTTCCTTTTTAAGAGGAACTCCTCTAATATATCCATATAATGAAATATTTCGATCACATTTAGGATTCTTTCTAATTAGTTCCTGATTAGTCAAATCCTCATATCGGTCTCCAAGTAAGTAACTGTGAGTCGTTCTCCACTGTAGTGGCCTAAATTTCATAACAGAAATGAATCGGCTTAAATTTTTAATCTCATTTCGTAAATATTCCCCATGGAGTATTCCCGATAAATAAAACAATTTTGCACCTGGATACACTTCAGCCCAAAATCTATGTTTAAGAGTCTTTTTTGTAGTTTTGAGTGCTTTACTATTTTTGATCATATCCAAGTGAGTTAATACGCCCATAATTCTAGGCATCCCGTGGATCTGACATATATTTAAAAATTCAAAAACCTCCATTTCAAATCCAAAACTAGCATCACACAACAATAATACTAAGTCACCTACTTTAGCCAAATCTATCATTGAGTTAATATCGTTATTGCATTCGATAAAAGTTACTCTTCGTTTTTTTCCAGTAACAATTGTCACAGGGCCTTTTATCTCCGTTAGAGGTGATCGTGTGTAACTTTTGATTAAATTTTTAATTAAAGTAGTTTTGCCAACTTTTGGTGGACCTACTACTGCTACGAGTATAGGTGGTGGTTCAATGGGAGTTCTGTCAACTACTGGTATGTGTTGCTTCTTTGTTTCAATATCTTGCTTCCTTCTAAACCTTCGTTCAGCTCTAATAGCTGAATTAAATGCAAAAGCTTTAGGATTCCGCTGCTTATCTGAAAGTTCTTCTGCAATTGGGTTTTGAATATCTTTTTTGTTTTTTTTCTTTACAGCTTTTCTCCCTAAAAAATAGTATCGTAATTAATATTTTTTATTCATAAAATTTGTAAAACTAACCTGAATGCCTATCTCGATGTGACTTTTTCGTATCCCCCACATTATTTTCCTCCATATTAATTAATTAATTACAAGAGACTGTTTAAAATATGAAAATTTCAGAAAATAAAGATTTTTAAAATATTTTAAAAATCTACCTTGAGTTATTAAAAATCTAACCTACAAGAAACAGAAGTCAGAAACACAGGTATGGTCACAGTATGGGGGCCTTTCGTTTTGACAAAAATAGTACCTACTAATATCAGTTCAGAGTAACTCTAAGTTGCTGTTAGCTCCTAATAACTACTTTTTTGCCAAATTGAAAGGCCCTATGATTTGTGCACAAATCACAATTCGCATTCACTATCTCGTATCTCACTCTCTGAATGGAGTTTGTGCTCCTTGCTCGTTATCCTTAGGGCCTTTCGATTTGGCAGAAATAGTAGCTATCAGTTGCTAATATCAACTTAGAGTTACTCTGAACTGATATTAGTTGCTAATGACCCTCAGTTTAAGGAATAAGCGAACGCTTATCAAGGTGGTACTTCAACCGCAGCTAACCTACGCCTCCACGGCGTGGGGTCACGCGGCAAAAAGCCACTTAAAGTCATTACAGGCTGTNTCCAATCTCCATGTGTTTTTCCTATTTTTCGTTGGTCAAAGGTGATTTTGACTGATTTTGGCGGCTGACATCCTGACAATTAAAAGCAAATTTTGTTTCAAGATTACAAGCAGATTTTTGGTTAAGTGCTGAGTGGTGATTTTGTTATTCTGCATAAAAATGCCTCCTGTTTTTAGTGGATATTCTACCATGGTAGATGATTCAAATGATTGGAGAAATGCCCCGCACAGTACGGGGGTAAGTTGAGATTATCATATGCCTTTGAGTATCCTAGAATATGTATATAATTATTAAATTTTCAGACTTCTATCATGGCAGCAGAATTTGCTGGTGGTGTAATTATTGGTGCTGATTCAAGAACCACTACAGGGTAAATTTACTATTTATTAGTAATATTTTTGTTTAAAATATATTTTTTTCAGAGCTTATATTGCTAATCGTGTTACTGACAAGCTGACTAAAATAACAGACCACATATATTGCTGTCGTTCTGGGTCTGCAGCAGATACGCAGGCTATTGCAGATATTGTCAAATATCATCTTAATTTTCATGGGTAATAAATTATTATTTTATTATATTGTATTCTATTTACACTACTGTTGATCACTGTCCGGAGATAATATTAAAATATTTTTTAGAATGGAGCTTGGTGAAGAGCCCCTAGTGGAAGTGGGTGCAGCCATATTTAGAGAACTTTGTTACAGTTATAGAGATTCTCTTATGGCAGGCATCCTTGTTGCAGGATGGGACAAGCGTAAAGGCGGTCAAATTTATTCCATTCCTATAGGAGGCATGTGTGTTAGGCAGCCTGTGTCAATTGGTGGTTCAGGTTCTAGTTATGTGTACGGTTATGTAGATGCTAACTATAAACCGAACATGTCTAAGGAAGAATGTGCTAAATTTGTCGCCAACAGTAAGATAATTTCAGTAAAACATTACTTTTAATTCATGCTACAAATGTAAATTTATAAATTTGAAATGTTTTTTTTTTTTAGCTTTGGCACTTGCTATGTCACGGGATGGGTCATCAGGAGGTGTAGTTCGACTGGGTATTATTACAGAAGAAGGAGTTGAACGTAGAGTTATTTTAGGAAATGAATTACCTAAATTCTTTGAAGACTAACACTAAAATTTGTATTCTATGCTTCTATTTAATAAAAAAACTCATCCTAATACTTTTTGTTTTTTAAGTGGTAAAGAAAAACTTGCTATGGCTTATGTACAAAGCAGAAGTAATGAATGAAAAACTGGGCTGAATGTAAAAGTTATGTCGTTGAATGTCTTGAAAAATGAATTTGATGTCTGACTTCAGCAGTTTTACTGCCCTCTATCAAGTAGCGATCGAATTAATGCAATGAAACATGCAAAATCCATTGTCCGGAGTCCTACGCATATACTGTTTCAGAAGTGCTCCAAAAAGACGTTTTTTTGGAAAAGCGGTGGAACACTAAAATTCGAATAAACTGTTATGGGTTAAGTAATAGTCAGTTTTTTTTTCAAATTTTATAAGAAATTCAATAAAGTACAGGTTCACCACTTTTCTGTACCCGTAGCCCTCTAGTCTTTTGAATATTTTCGTTTGTTTTTCATAAATTTTTCGTATCCGTATCCTGTTTGTGCAGCATTCATTTAAATGTGACTAAAAGTATGATCAAATAATTTGTGGTTTGTTGGCTAATTTTAAGTATAATTGGTAAGTCCAATGCAGTGGCGGCTCGTGACATTGAGAATAGGTGAAGCATATTCGTTGATTGACTAAAAAGAAAAAGTGCCGTTGGCAAAAAATTTTCAAATTTTAAAGGTCAAATGGCTAAATGAATCGAAATTTTTAGTTGCATTTGCAATATTACCGAAAAACTGACGTTCGAGAGAAGGATTTTCATTTAGATTTTATAAAAAATAGAAATATTAGTTCGGCTTGTGGACTCCTGCGACATTAACGCACACCGTACATGTATGTTCCAAAGAAGTTTTGTGGTTACGACGTCGCGTGACATTCCCAAAATTGTTAAATCCCTTCTTATTTTACACGCCTGACTTTACACCCATAATTAAACACGGCATACAGAAAAGTTTTTTTAAATGAACACTTCCACACAACCACTTATACTCCGAATACCATTCATTCCGAAACTTTCGAACATACACGTTGTCTTTTGACTTCTTATTTCCATATCGAGAGAATAAGACACAAATCTCTCGCAATTTAAAAAATCTTTGTCCTCAATTTTCCATCTGAAAAATGGCGTTTCCAAAAAAATACATACTGGATCAAACATAGGAAACATTTCTACAATTATTATACTAAACAAATATTAACAAAGAATTGTTATAATCGTGCACTAGGCGACGTGTATCATATAAACTGTTGAAGGCAGGCGATGGGCGATGCTGCTTCCATTTCTGCCTCACTCGTTTCCCCACACCGTAGTTTAATAACGTATTGGCCGCCTCGTTGCCATGACAACCGCCGTAAACAGCGCTATGAAGAGAAGCAGAGTACACACCAATTTCAACCTGCATCACTTACATATATTATACGTTGTATGGTACGAGGTTGATGTTCGCACTCAACAAGGGCAATGTTTTTTTAGAGGGCGTTCACCGCGCAACTGGTCTGTTTATTTTTGTGTATTAAACAAACAAACACAATACATTTTCAATATAGAATTATACCTAAATTATAAAATTTATATAAAATTATAAATAATTTTAAATTGCACAACCAAACGGAAATTTTAGGGAAAGCGGTGCGTCACCTGACGAGTCGCCACTGGTCCAATGGTACCAATCCATCAGCACCATAGAAAGACAAACTAATTTGCAGTGGCGGGTCTTGACTTCCATACCAAGGAGGGCAGAAAAATTTAGGTAGAAAGCATTGTAAAAAAAATAAATCAGATATAATTGGGTAAGTTTTATTTTAAACACTTTTGAAATTGTTATTTTTTATAGTGAAACTTCAATCAATTTATGTTTACAATTTTTTAAAAAACAAGAAACAACATGCAATAATAAAATATTACGCCACAGCTGAATAAATTACGTTTATTAAGAAAACAGGGCAGCGAATAGCTATCTATTATTTGGGTACTGTCAGACTATCCAGAGCCCAAACTGCAAAGTAAATATGCGCCACTCATATTTTCTTTCTGCGCGACGGTAACCATGACCACCGATGTAAAAACTTTACAAATGTAGAAGCAAGCTATGAGGAGCTCACGTATTTAGTTTTGCAAACGTTTTACGAGTTAAATTAACTGTACATTACAAATTTAACATTTCCTTTTTAATGTGTTTCGTAAGGCTAATCTATTTATATAGATAACAATGCAAACTAGAGCCCCCCGTATCAGCCGCCACTGCTAATTTGTCTTCAAGCGGATATAACACGAACTTATCTTTTCCAATCGACTAAATTGTAGGCATACTTAAAGCAGATTTATTTTCAAGCAGACCGCCCATTTGGGAGTCATCAAATATTATTTTCAATAAGCACACACTTTAAAATATTATAGCTTGTTTCCTCACCTTTTTCATTAACGTATATCTCGCTCGAGTCCGCTTTGTAGGCAACGATGAGTGTCACATGAAACTGGAAGCCGATTGATTTCATTTTCATTGATATTTACCGCTGCTAAGTTTAAATAAAACAAATCGTATAGTTTAAATGATTGTATTAAAAAAAAAATTAAATTAAAATTACAGCTTAGGAACACCGAAGACAGTAGATAAATGGAATTTGTATATTGTATGCGTATATGATAGATACATAAGTACAGATGAGAAATAAATACTTAGCCTGTAAGTTTTATACTTTGAACAAAAATGTCTTTAATGTTACATCGTACAGCTATATTACATCCTACTGTATGCCTGTTCACTAACATTAAAAAAAAATGCCTCTCAAATAAAATAAAACTAACAATTCCAATTGCAGTGGCTACACTTATGTACAAAAGTATAAATATTAATCATAGAACAACATATCGATTACTAGTATTCACTAATTTAAAATTTTTTATTCGGGATCATTAAATAAATTTTTTAAATCGTGCTCGTAAAGAGCTATTAAGGTCATTATGCCGAAACCTAGGAGTAACCCTCCTAAATGTAGTAGACACTGCATTAAATTCCCCTCGTCCTCGTGAGCAGAACTTAGTTCAGGAATCATATCTACTAATGCAATGTAGATAAACATGCCAGCCGCTGCGGCAAACACCCAAGAGCTTGCGTATTCAGTGTTACCTGTGGATAGAGAAATAGAGTAGTAAATAATCTGAATGAACCAAAAAATATATATACAGGGTTAGTTACATAACACTCTATGCCCCGGAATATAAATAATATAATTAAAATTTCCTTTCGAAAAATGTATCTTACAAGATGTTTACACAAAAAGTTGGGATTAGAGATGACATGATTCTCAAAGTTTCAAACTTTCACTATTATTTCAGATTATAGCAAACAGTTAAATCAGTCCGCTGATAGAACAAGTCAGGTTTGCTAACTTTGTCATGGCTTCTACCAACCAGGAGTCTAATGAAAATTTCTTAGTTTTGTTTAGTCAAACAATTGATGCTTTTCTAAGGCAGAGTGAAATATTATTTAGACCAAATTATTTATCAAAACCATTAGATAGCCATGATGAAATGCTGATTTATAAAGGTCTTAGATTGGTAAAGTACAGCAACTGATTATTGCTATCTGTCCCAAAAGGGCAGTTTGAAACAATTGTTCATATAAAAAAAAACTTGATTGTAAAGTGGCTACACATTGTGCTTTATCAAATTTAGGTACATTACTGATTTATTTCATCGGTGTTTTAGTTAAAATAACATTAAAACACTAAAATATATAATGTATTTTGGAAGTCTTAATGTAAGAAGACACAAAATTTTCAATGGAAAATATTTGGGAATGTTCAACAATAGGAAATTTTCCTACCCCTCAAAAAATGTTTAAAATGCCAAAATTGTTAAAGAAAGTTTTACACACATTTGAAAATCAAAAAATATAAGTTTATAACTGAAAATCCAAAAATTATAGAAAAATTTCAAGTACGCCACTGAGTTCTACACATAAAACTGATGAAATGCATTTTTATGGAAATAAAAAAAATTCCAGAAAAGAAAACTTAAATGACCAAGTATTTCTTAAAGCAATTAAAATATTGAAATGTGAATCTTTTCAAATTTTCTCGAAAATCAAATCCAAGACATCGTATCTATTTTTTGCCTATCTTTTTAAGGGCGATAGCCACTTGATGGATCAAAAAAATTTTTTTTGCTTTAATTTAACCTTCGAAAATATTGTGTATAAAATTTTCAAAATTTCGAAAATTTACCGAGTTACAGTCATGTTAGTGAGGCAGGTATAGACACCATAATCATCGGTGCGCTAGGGACAGACGAAGAATCGTGCGAAAAAGAGCAATAAAATAAAAAACAATGCCAAAACCCCTGGAGATGTAGAGGAAGAACCATCATATGGCCCAAGACTCGATAGTTTTATGTAAGTATAAATATGTTAGTAGATCCATGATTTGTTTTATAGTAAGAAAAACGGGCCGAAAACTTTAAACGCGTTTTTCCCAAAATGCCTCTTTTTCAAACTGGTCGCATCGATAACTCGATTAATTAACCAATTTTTTATTTTTTTTTATTTGTCTTTGCAATGGCCAAGGTTAAGTGGAAAATTTTTATTATTACTATTTTTTAAGAGTGCTGAAATGCAAAAAAGGGGCAAACAAGTGAAAAAAATGTTCAATTGGCGACAAATGGCGAAATTATCAAAAAAAAATGGTTACGTACAACGATAACTACATTCATATAGATTCTAATGCAATTTGATTCCTTTTTTTCAGATAACCCGTTTTTGGAAAATCGATGAGACCATGGAGGGGGATTTTTTTTAAGGCTTTACGGCAAAACTCATAACTTTGTACTAACTTCATATTTTTTAATAAAAATTTACATGAATCAAGTTAAATATACACTTAATAAAATAAAAAAACCCATGTTCCTTAATTTTCCCGGTCAAAAAAATTCACGAAAATGGCTCACTTTTTTGGCCGTCACAGTGGCTTAATATGAAGAACCTCTCAAAAGAGCCGAAATTGGCCTACTTTGATTTTTATAATTTCCAAATCGACAAAAAGTTTATCAACAATTCTATACAAATAATCTTTCTTTCGGAATTGGAAATGTCTATTTAAAAATAAAATATGTACCGTTTTATATTTAAAAAACTAAACAGTATTTTAATACTAAAAATAAATAAATTACTTTCTTGCTCAACAGGTTTCATTGGAATTATTCCTCAAAATAATATTAGCGTGCGGAAATGATGATATTTTTTAGTTGCTTCGGTTTAAATTTACAAGGCATTGGATTTAATAATGAAGCAACTATCTTATTTTATTGATGAATGGTAAACTGGAATTAATTACCGAAATTTAAACGAAAAGAGAAAGGAATCGATACATGAGATCACGAGAATTATGTATCACTCATATCTCCAAAACCAAAGCTGAACTCATCTTGGAACTTTCTCAGTAGCACGTTCTAATGATTTACAATAACTTAGCACAAAATTTTTAACAAATTACGAGTTTGCTAAAATGGGCGATTTTCGGAGTTACTCTTTCCACAAACTACATCATCCAACGCGGCAATTCGAAATGGAATATTTTGTACCTCTTTTTTTCCCAAAACTATCAGAAGATTAATATTTTAAACAGATTTTTTGGGCAAACTTCGAAATTAATCTGTGAATAATTAGATTATACTCGCCTTTTTTTCTTAATCAATATTTCCTTATCCTAATGTATGTACGTTAATTACGCTTAGTATAACTTCATTTCTCCCAAAATAAATTTTACAATTGGATAAAAGATATAAAGAATATATAAAAATAATTCTTAAATTCTTACCTAACCAGAGTCCAAACATGTTTCCGAAAATACATAAAACACTTGAAAGTATATTATAAAACAACGCTTGTTTTATACTCATGCCAGCCTTTAGTAACATTGCAAAATCGCCCAATTCATGGGGCAGCTCATGGCAAAACACAGCCAATGTCGTGGAGAATCCTCCAGCGACTCCCTCTGAAAATGCCGCCCCAATCGCCATTCCATCAGTAAAATTGTGCAGACCATCACCCATAATAACCATCCAAGCCACAGACGAGAAATTCTGAGGAGCCGCATGGACATGCCCGTGTTTGTGGGAGTGCCCGTGATGGTCATTTTTGTGTTCTCTCACAATAACCGTGTAGTCTTCATGATCGTGTTTCTGATCCGACGGAAGCATCTTATTTACTTCAGTACAAGCGTTGATATTCAGGTTGCCGGAAGAATCCGTTATGTTCTGGTTAGTTTCCAGTTTTTCTATGGTGGGTGACCTCGACTTCTTGCAGGATTGGATATCGGAGTTAGAGTCTAGTTCAAGCATTGTAGTTGCTGTTTTGTCGGACTCGTAGAATGTTGTGTCTGGAATAAATTTTATTACTTGACAAAACCTCCAAGTAGGAATTTAAGTTTTCAAATTACAACAGATTGAGGTTGCAGCTCAAAAAAAAATGCCAAAACAGCTGAAATATGCCTAAATAAACTTGTTGAAGTTCGCTTAGTTCACCATACTTGAGCCGGCAAATGAATTTCATAACTGTTTGCCTAATGATGTAAAACTATTTCATAATAACCTTGCAATTTCTCAAAAAAATAAATGAAATTATATAAATCACTGTACATACAGGCTGTTTCTATTTCCTACCAAAAAAAAGTTTCAGATAAAAGTGTAGGATATCAAGGATCCAATATGCTGGTGACCTTGGATTTTACGACCTTAAATTTCAAGGTCAAATCAAGGATAACTTGACAATATTTAATAAAATATCTCTATTTTTATGCCAGCAATCAATGGAGTGCCAAATGTACGTTCCCGGAACATAAGTAAGTTGGTTGTCGTGAATCAGTCAGGAATAATGGAAAATTAGAACTGAGTTGTTATAAAGTATTCCAAAGGTTCACTAATAATCACAGTACAGTAATAAAATGTAGTAAAGTGTACAGTCGGATCCCAAAATAATAGGCAACGATTTCATCTTTAATCCGGCTCATAACCATTTTTAGCAGTCAACACAAAGAGAAGTACGAGCCGTTTGTAAATTCTCCATATAAAATTGTGTGTGTCGCACTCTCCCAGAGCAGTCAATACTGCACTGTTTTAGGATATTCTTCTGCTGCATTTGGAGTGCACCCAATATTCTTCTGCTGCAGCAAATTCCACTTTCATTGGTGTTTGGTGCGTGACATCAATTGGGTTGCATTTATTTGGCTCCAGGCAATTCTGTTGGAACAGGCAAACAGGCGTACGCGCGAAAGAAGTCCGAGGATATCTTTCCGTTAATTTAATTGTGGTTGCAATTAATTTATTAGTGATTTTGGGTTTACGTTCTTAAAAATTGAGAGTAATTCAAGCTGGATGGTATTTTAAAAATGAGCTTCCGACAATAAAAAAATTCAGACTGCTATCTCAGAGGATCAAAATTTGCCTAGAATATTTAGAAGGGTGCTTTTGCGAACTATGCGTAACATGAATTTCCGTTTTATAAAACAAAATCGAAAGAGTATGCTGATAAAAAAAGAGGAAATAGTGATATGGCGAAGAAACTATTTAAGACAAGTGTTAGGAGCTCGAAAACTAAATCGAAGAATATATTACACAGACGAAATATGCATAAATGAAGGTCATACGATGACAAAAGTGTAGCACGATGGCAATATCCAAAGCAAACGGCAGGCATATCTGGAAAGATTTTCGACTGGATTAGTCACCTTCTAGAAAAGGGCGGTGCCTATAATTATTATAACGCATATTGGAAGAACAGCAGGATTTTTGGAACAGAATGTGTGTATACAGGGTGTCCCGAAATTAGTGCGACAAAATTTGGTCACAGATTATTAAGACAAATTCAGGGGACCCATAATCTTTATTTTTGCCAAGTGGCCCCCTGAAATCCGCCCCTAAGAATAATCTTTTTTATATCTCAGAACCCTGTTGTACGAGAATCACTAAATTTGGTACACAGGTGTTTTATGACATGTGGAATCTGATAGTGCTATGCCTTTTGACGGGGAATCCCTTTAAGACACTTTCATGGGTCCCCTTTTCTTTGGGGCCAAAAAATTTGGTCGCATATTTGAATTTCTTAAAAATTATTAGTTACTAGAAAGCCATTGAATTTAGAAACTTTTTTATTTCTTGATATTTTTTTCATAAATGCAATGTTTTCGAGAAAAATGGCAAATCACGATATGCATTTCATCACATTTTGCCATTTTTCTGGAAAACATTGCGTTTTAGAAAAAATATCCAGACAAAAAAGTTTCTAAATTCAATGGCTTTCTAGAGGACTAATAATTTAAAAAAAAATTAAATATGCCACCAATTTTTTTGTCTCCAAAGACAAAGGGGTCCACGAAAAATTGTTTTAAGGGGATTCTCCGCCAAAAAGCATAGCACTATCAGATTCCACCTGTTATAAATCCCCTGTGTACCAAATTTAGTAATTCTCGTACAACAGGGTTGTAAGATATAAAAAAAGACTATTCATAGGGGCGGATTTCAGGGGGCTATAACTCCAAAAGAGGGGGGCCAATTGGCAAAAATAAAAAATACGGGTCCCCTAAATTTGTCTTAAGAATCTGTGACCAAATTTTGTTGCACTAATTTCGGAACACCCTGTATATAGTATAGTTTAGTGTATTATTATAACAGATAAAGTGTAATATCCGCGGTATACGCATCAGGTAAGTGTAAGTGAGTAGTGGTGGGCAATCGCCGTCCAAAAAGACAACACTCAACAATTGTGGAGAGAATGTGGAGTCTATAAGCTTTTTAAAGTAAATATTCAACGTGAACTTATTTTCTATAAGTTTCTGTTCTTTGATCCCTTCTCAAGTAATACGCCTATGGAATCTTGTCCCTGCACCCCTCACCTCCCTTATTAGTCTAAGTGCTGAATGTGAATCACTGCACATTATTATGGAACACGGGTATTGTTAGTTAAAGAAGTCTTTGTTAATTCACGTGCAGTGATAAATTAATGTCAAATATAAAGAATGTTTTAATCGCTGAACATGGTTCACATGTATATTGTGACAATATACCGTTTATACATATATACATAAATGTATATGCCCAGTTGAAGAATGCGAGCGCGGGCAAACAAAATACAAATACAGTTGCATTGGGCCACTGGGCAATAAATCTCAGTCGTTGACAAGTGGTTGACAAATTGCCCCGCAGTGCAGTGCAGCAATGCGGAATTTAGTGTGATTCAGGTAATTTTCATTTATTATAGGCACCTTCTATTAATCATTCATATTACAATTGCAAAATGGAGAAATAATATTATTACAACATGGCATTTTGGAGACCTTCTGAAACGGAACAAAATGAAATTTACCATAAATAGAATAAAATTGTTTGAGGACACAAATAATTAAAATATGTTGTTGGCCAAATCAACATATAATAGAAATTTTCTGCACATTATATGCAAATTATTATAATTTTTTACCTTTATCAGAAAACTTTTTTAGGGGCGCCTATGAAACTCATTAAATTTTATTGCCAGGCGTTTTTTTACATGTTCAACTGACTTGGGAAAGACTTTACTAATAAACCCCAATACTGAGACATAATACTGTAATACTTACTAGGATTATTCATAATGTCTTTATAGCAATAAGGAAAAGTATTATATCGGTCCATACACTGCGTATCATTTTTCTGACTGATACCCTCCGTTCTGTCGTTAAGAATAGTAACATGCGAATGTGCATGCTTCTGTTTCCTTTTCCTCCACTTTCCAGCAAGTGAAATCAGTCTCTCCATGATAAAGAATAAAGTTAAACCAAGCATGGCCACGAAACCTTTCCAAGTATTCTGATCGTGGGTGTTATGGCTGTGTTCATCATGCCCGTGTTCGTGGCCGTGACTATGGCCAGAACTCATCGCATGTGGCAGTAGATGCAACAAAGCATCCCCTGCCAATGTTCCTACAGCTAAAGCTACTAAAAACTGTATTAGTGGTTTGTAAAAAGTCTTCTGCATCACTGGTATTATAGCAAGAGACAGGACGCCACAAGCGCTGATTACAACAACTGCTAAAATGGAGTAAAGCCAAACTAGACTATTCCTGCTGTTCTCTGAAACATCATGGATAGGGAATATCACCTCTTCTTCTGGGCAATTCGGGGCAATCATGCTGTATAAAATGATGGGGCATGCCTTTTGAAAAGTTGTATGGTTAATTGTTGACGATAAAATTTCTTTCTTCAACACCGTCGTCAGTTCTTGGTCAACACACTGAAAAAAGAAACATTAATTTACATGTATCACCAGTGATAATAAAATTTGTATATATAAAACTTAGAGATTCAAACCAAATAGATTATTTATTAATGTTTACTCAATTCAAAGATTTTAAATAATTTGTTCAGTAACTCCAATTTATCTCTCAAATCTTGTATCCTACATCTCTTATAGAAATACTTTTCAATCTCTATTTTCACGGGGACAAAGACAATAGCAACTAAATTAAGTACTTTAAATTTGTCATACAGCACTAGACTTAATGGGCTCATCTTAATTGAAAGTGTGACGAGTGACTAACAACACCTTTTCAGCAAATTTGCATATTTTAACATCATTAAGATCAAAATTGGGATGGCAGATGTGTATCAGAAAAATAACAATGTAAGATATTTTTTTTAAATTTTCACTTCAAAAACATTGCTGGCGATTTCACTTTAAATTCTGAAAATATAGGAATGGTTTCATATTTAAGAAATAATAATAAATGTTTTATTGTAACGCCTGGTGGTAATAGTTTAAATAACTAGATGGATTTCACAGGGTCTAACGACACTTACAGTGTACTATAATTCCATAAACAAAAATCTAAATAAAAAATTTAGATAAATTTGGAATGAATACACTGAAGATGAATTTTTCGAGACAAAACGTCTGAATCTGGTTCGGACTGAGGCAGTACAGTATTGGGGATCATAAAGGCTTGCAAAAAATGTAATAAAATTTCTAGTCGTATTTAAAAAAATGAAGTTGATGATGGTCCTGGAGAGACGAAACGAAACGTTACATACAAAAATTGATTATCAGTATCACTTTAAACAAGGCTGAATGAAACAAAAATGGATTTCCAAAATTTAGTTTTTTTTCAAATATGTATTTCGAAAACTAATCATGTTAGCTTTGATTTTTTAGAGCCATAATGTTGGTTCCCTGATTACACAACTTTTCCTCCATATAAGCTATTTTGTATCTCTTACCGTTTTCGAGATCCCTGTAGTGAAAAGCAAATTTGTAACAGCCTGTAGTAGTAAATATACTATAAATTTGAAAATACAAAGGTAGTTTTACAGTTCTTCAACAAATATTTAAAAATATCAAAAATGTATTAATAATAATTAATGGTATTGTTGCACATTGAAATAAAAATATGAAAACAGGATTTTTTGCTTACTTGTTACCTTTGTGGTCCAAACATTTATATTAAGAAAATCAAAAACTAATATTGAGCAGAATATATATATCTATCATTTTATCTCTACTCTGACAATAATTTTATTGAATATCTAAAGTGCCATAAAATCAGACTTACCGTATCATTTGCAGTACTATTATCTAATTTTAAATCTAAAGCAGGAGCAGCCTCATTAATATCATGAATATGTGGATTTTCTGATAACATCTGGTGTAAATCCAGATGGTGAATAAGTCTTTCAAATCCTTCCATAGTCATCGTATCACCGTTACCATATTTCAAAAATATTTTCCTTAAGTACTCGGTTACAATTTCACTATTTACGCTATCGTTACTTTCTTCTAGGCTGTTTCTCTTTGATAGGTTGTGTATCTCTTCAATTTTAAAAACATTAGCACTGTCGTCAAACGTATTATCAGTCGTGTATGGATCATCTCTATGCTTTTCACGTGGACTAATTTGAAGATTTTCTATTAGTGGCGGGTTATTGGGATCATCGTACTGCCTGCGTGGCACTACATTCTCATGTCCTACAGCTGCGTGAGAAGCACATGGTGAATGGGTAGCGCAGATAAAGCAAAAAATGCACACTGATATTACATGATGGGCCATCTTTCAAACTGAAAAAAAAAACTGATTACCATTTTGATTTGAATTAAATATTGAAATTAAAAAATATTAGATTAAACTGTTGCATTGATTATTATTACAAATGTTAACTGTTTCAAATATCCACAATATTTTATAAAAAATTTACAAATGTAGTACTCGCCACTTTATTATTTAATTAAATTAAACGATGAATGCTGAATGTGAAATCCAAATCAATTACTGATATCAGAACTGACTTGAATTGTACTAAACACTCATTTTAATTTAAAGTTAAGGCCAGATTTATTAAAGTAGTTAAAGGAAGATTTTTATTTCAGTTCATGCTTAATAATTTTTGCCATAATTCTTTGAAAATACGCTTCAGCGTATAACTGAAATTTACATTGCAATTTATAGTACACACAAAAAGTATTATTACTTTTTCACACCTGAATGGTTTCAAATCTATAAATAAAATAGAAATATGAGACTCATTCTATTTATTAACTTTTTAACTCCTGACCTGAATGTTAATGCACTTCAACATTTGAAATAAAACCACTTTTTATTCTGAAGTCTGCGGTTCTTTAAAAAAAATATGGGGATTTCTATGAATTTTATTAAAATATAATTTATATTTACTATCAAGTCAAATAAGTAGATAAGCTTTTAAGACATGATATTAAATTGTAATTTTCCTAATCAGATCTAATGCAAAATATATCTGTATAGTGTATATACAGGTCGTCTTGATTTGTAGGTGTACAATTAACAAAATGAGTGAAAAAAAGGGAGTTCAAATATTTTTTAATAAATAACTAATGTATCTTAGGAAACTAGAAATAACATCTCCAAAATTGTATTAGCAACTTTTTTTACTGGAATTTAACAACTATTTAATATATTTTAGTCTTGTTTATTTATTTTTTTATGGGAATTAATGTTGAAGTGAGTCAATTTTAATTTTTTCTTACATGACAATAAGCCAAGGTGTGAACTTCACTTATTAGCAAGAGACGAAAATACATATCTGAAAAAATTGAGTGTCGGAAAAACAACCATTTTATTTTTTCTGCAAATTTAGTATACAACCATTTTAGAGTGCATAGAATAATTTTACGGTGTTATATCTTTAATAACAAAATCACTAACATGTTTTTCTGAAATACTGATCCATATAACAAATAATAGTCAGGTCATGGTAATGGAAAACCAATAATTATTTATTGTATTTAAGGGGGTGTTGTTAACATACAAACTAGACACACTGTATTTTTAAAAAAATATCCATTAGAAATTATTTTACTAAAAAATTATCAGCACAAAGCGGAAATGCTTTTATAAAGATTCTGCATATGTTTAGAACTGCATTTTCCCATCTTCAATTGAATATGCAAAGTAATGTTTTTTTTTAATTTGGTTTTTTGTTTACTTATTTGTTCAAAATTGGTTAAAAATATTGACATTTTGTTTCTTTTTGTCGTTGGTTCATAGAAACAATTTTGTTCCCTTTTGTTGTTTTAAATAAACCATTATATTTATTTACTTTTTTTAATTTGTGCTAGACAACTGCTAACTTGAAATTTGAGAGCATGAGCATCGTTTTCTATATATATTTTTTTTAAAGTTCATAATATAATTTTTAAAATTTTTGTTACCTGTTACAGTAATAAGAGGAAACGTTTCACTGAGTTAATAGTAAACGAACAGAAGCACAAAGAAACAAAAACTAATTAGAGTTACTATTTAGTTGTAGTTATAATAAAAAAATTTAAAATAGTGAATCGTTCAGTAAAAAAAATGTGCAAACATATTTTGAAGTATTTTTATAATCCGTAGGCAGCTTGTTAGCGATATTTTAATGAGTAGACAATAGAGGACAACAATAAAAATTTTCCAAAAAATAATTAGACAAGTTTTTGCTATTGATAAGTTAAATAAGTGGTTAAAATTTCAGCAACATGGAAAAATATTTTACTGTATTTTTATTTTGAGTAGTTTTCCCATTTTTTTCAGTTTTTCGTTTCGATTTTTTAAAATTATTAAGTCTTTATTTATTAATTGCCTGAAGATCATCTATAAATCTGAACACCATGTATACCTAATAAAAAATTTTAAGTTTGAATGTGCATAAATCAATTTTTTTTTATTCTACACACTGGTAAAAAAGTATACCTTCTATTGTTCAAAAAATGATGATTTTACAAGAGCTCCAAGTTAGTCTAGTATACTGTTGGCACCATGCACTGTACTAACAGCAGCACAATTTGCAGTTCAACAATGCGATAGGAAAAGTTGCTTGAAACTGCAAGTTACTTCTAGGTAAGTAATGTTAAGTCTCGATTTACAACTCTCCCCACCACTGAATATTTTTGTTTAAAACCATATAGTTCAAGTTAAATAACGTTTTGATACAACAAACTAAATTAGAAGCTAAAATTTCTTATTTATAATAAGTACCGAGAATGAAATTTAGAATGTGTTTCTATAATTACTTTGTGTTAAAGGTTATTTTTATAGTAAATCATAAAATAGGTCAAGTATCTCCTATTCCTAAAATACTTTCTTTAATGTGCACTTTAAGAAATTCACCCCTTTTTGTATTGTGTGGTTTACAAATTTAAATAAATAGTTTATAAAAATCGGACTAATATAAAAACACATTCTCAACAGTAGCACATATGTTAGTCCTTTTTAACAAAAGAGTAAAAAAAAATTAATTACAAATAAAGTTAAATATACTTCTTTATCTAAACGTTAACTAACTTTAACTGACTTTTTTATTAACTTTACAATAAATCGTTGAATTATATAATGTATCAAATAATAATCATATGAGTAATATCTTAAGGTATACAAATTCAAAATTTTGCAATTATTTTATGGTAAATTGTGGCATTAAGGCCTGATTTTTTTCACCTCCTGATAAATTTATCTTCCAGTTAAATCTATATCTTTTTCATAAAATATATATATATAAGAAAGGGACAGACATAGAATTAATTGACACTTAAATTTACCCGACAGTTGAAAAAAAACGGACTTAAATTGATTAACTCACATGGTTACTATGTAGATACCTCAATTTGTTGATTTTGAAAAAAATTATTTTAAAAATAGAATTAGCATTTGCTTAGTGACAATTTTTGTACTGTTTCTTTCATGGGATTGAGACATTTTTAGTTATAATGAAAGAAAAGAGGACTTGTTAAATTATGGCAATTTGACAAACAGAATCATATTAATTCTCAAAATTATATTTAGACACTTAGTCACCAAACATTTGCATGTATTTTCTTATGAATCTATTAAAAATAGATGCACATTATTTCAACAGGCGGAAACATTTTTGTATGTCAGAAAGATATTGTAACTACCTAACTATAATTTATGCAACATTTAATTTTCATAAATATTTTATTACTGCACATAACTGGTAAGAAATGTGGATGTGTAAAATGGTTTTTATAGCTATCAAAAACAGTCATATCTGATATCTGAACGAATAACTGCTAAATAGCAAAAGTTCAACTGTTAAGAAATGTTCAGGAGCATATGTTCATAAGTTTTATCTTAATAGATATTACAAAGCAGATATATCTGCTGGTAAGTAGAGGTAAGTTGCATCATTACTTAGCAGTTATCAGTAACTGAGCAGTAGTGATAATAAAAATTGGACTTATCTGTAAGTAAACCGACAATATTCAAATTGATATTGCAATCTAATAAAAACATAATTTGCTGATGTGTCATTAACTCCATTATTGAATAGGAAATGTGCAATTACATCGTCGTATTGATTAAGAAAAGGGTTAACACCTTATTAATGCCATTCTTTTTGATGATCCTAGTACATCTGCTTTTTGTTAGGGCAGCAGTACTTATCATACATTGTAATTAAAAATATTTAGATGCACATAGAATATTGTATGAAGTAAGTTAATACAATTGTATGCAAGTACATAGATATAAAAATTGCAGACGTCAAATGGAATACAATATTGTAGTAATTACTTTCAATATAATAGTTGATGACATCTAGTATTTAAAAAAATGCTTACAAACATTAAATATTTGTGTATCAAACAACCTTCATTCTTATTTTCAATGAATGCATTTCTGTAAAGCAGTTAGAAATATGCTTCTGCTTATGCAAAATTTTGAAATATTGAAAAATAAACAAATAAATATAAACCAAATAATTTAAAGAAAAAGTAACATAGGCCTTTTCGGACCTGTCCATTGGAATTAAGTCCATCAATAAATTCACTAAATGACTAAATCGATGTTTAGGTGCTTAATAAAATGACTATATATTTTTTTGTTACTAAGAAAGAAAGATTATTTAGTTACTTCGAACATTTCATACTTTAATATTTAATTTAAGACATTTATGGCAATGTGAAAAAATAAATTAATTTATACAATTCTATCACTTTCTATGGACCGTTGAATTATTCGTATCTAATACTTATGTAATAGGAAAATCAATCATTTCAAGAAGCAAAGCAGTAGCTGTTATATTATAATATATTATTATTATTATTATTATATTATAAAAAAATAATACCATATTTAAACAAATGCAGGCAAGTAGTCACAGAGGCAAGAATTAAGGCCTGTGACATGTATTATATGTCTATCTACTATTTTTGCAACTATTTTCTTTATACAGGGTGTTTATTAAGTACTTGTACAAACTTTAAAGAGTGAATCGTTGACTAATTTTAAGATAAAAAGTTGAAAAAGATGAACATGGGTCTACAACGGCTTGGTTCTCGAGATACAGGATGTTGCAGTAGGCTAGGTGGCGGTCATTTTCAGCAATTATTGTAAATGTTAGTAACTTATTTGTAGAAGTAGTTTAGCCTTAATCTTGTAAATGATCTAAATTTGTCACATCGCAATACAATCAATAAAAGACGTATTTTTTCACTTGTTGAAAATAGATATGTTTAGTCAAAAATGACTTACAGTGCGACACAAAAAAGTTATGTCTATTTAAATCCAGGTATAAAACAGTATGTAACGCCCTCTAACATTAAACAGATAACTATGTAAATATTTTAGTTTCTTATCAATACTCCAAATTTCTCCAATTTCGTCAAGTCGCCATGTTATTTAATAAAAATATAATCAAAATACCACAAAAATTTTTTTGGACAGCCTGTATCTCAAGACCCAAGCCGCTGCGAACCCATGTTCATATGAACTTTTTATGTTAAAATTGCTCGAAGATTCACCCTTTAATATTGAACAAATACTTAATAAACACCCTGTATAAAAACTAGTAAGAGTGTTATTTATGAAAGTATTAATCACTAACTTTTGTTTAATATATGCCTTAATTTAAGTATTTTTAATACGTCTATGAAAGCAAATAATTATGAAATCTTGGTACTAAAAATAATTATTATTATTGCCTTAATTTGAACAATGTTATCTAAGCATTATAGTACCTAATAAACAATATGTATGCCTGATTAATCCAAAGTGGTACATAAATTAAAATTACAAAGGTACTCTAAAAATTTTTAAAAAGTTTCCAAGTCTGATGGTGGAATTATAGCCAAAAGCTGTAAAACAAAAACCTAAATTTTTATGCAACCAATTAAACAGTAACTACAAAAAATGTATTGTGAAATATCTGTAATAATAACAAATATTTAAAATGTATTCAGTGAAACTCAAAGAAACTTAAATTTATCACACAACAATCGAATGCAATTTTGTCAATTTATAGAAATAAAATTATAAATTGTATAAATTGGATGAATTCTTAGATTGCATCGAATTAATTGCTCTTTTACCCTCTTCATACGTACTTCATGCCATAAGCGATGACAAGATATAAGTACCTCCTGTAAATATCTTGTTTTGTTTTAATCTAACATAAAGAATTGGAAACGTATAAAACTTTTCCATATCTGGAATCAGTATTAAGCAGTACAATTTTTAATACAATTTAAATTCTAAAAACTCGTATTGCCATAAAAATATTCATTACTCCAATAATGTTATCTACGTAATAAAACTCTTAAAATAAAACCTTTACTATAGGTATTTATATTACCTATATCATTTTCGAAATCATGAGTAATATAGAAAGTAATAATTAAAAGAATGAAATTAACGAAATAAATATTAAGCAACAAAAATATATGTACATGATGATACAACCAATTAAACACTATTGTCATATTAATTAGATGATTGGTCTGGTGACATAAATACATTTATACTTAGATTGGTAACAAGTTTTGACTTGATAAAAAATTTAAATGATACAAGTTTATATCTACATTCCACAAAATATTAAATAACAAAAAAATAAGTACTTACTTACTTATCATGCAATCTTAATAATTGCTTTTTAATCCTTTGATGTAATACAATTAACATAAAAAATATAAATAACCAAAGGACTACTTACTTACTAATTCTTTCAAAAATTGTGCTAACTGAAATTTACTTTTTAATTGTTTTCTTTTTTCTTAAAGTACAGTTAATCTAAATGTTAATTTTTCTTGACAGTTCATTAAATAAACTGCTTCTCGAGATTACTGAATAAAACATAACTGAAGGGGTTTCTATTCACTTGATATTTAACTTTATATGTTTATGTAACAATATTTTATATTAATATTCTGAAGAAATTAAGACCAATAAACTATAGTTTAATTCGTTTCTTTCCAATTATAAACACGAGTTCAATTAAATAATTAAATTTATTATCAACAAGTATTTAGGATTTAGATTAGATATACTTATTTAAACCTACTTATAGAATGAAAATGAAATTTTCTTTCCAAATAACTTATTACGTTTATTTAGATTTTGGATGAAAACGAAAAAACGTAAACATTATTCTTAACTCTGAACCTCCTTATAAAGCCATGAGCCTATTATGAATAAAATTAAAATAGTTCAGCAATTGAGAGGCCAAATGAAATTTTGTAAACTAGAGAAATTTAGCTATGTATAAACCGGTACTTACCCCTTAATATTGTACGATAAAAAACAACAGTAACCTTACTTCCACTATCACAGACGGAACATTACCCCAAGGAGAAAGTAGACGCCATCGGGATCGAGGAAGTATAACTTAAAAAAAAAGCTATGTAGGTACACTTAATTTAATTTTTCAATGCATTCAGTTTCTAAACATGTAATTTATTCAAAGGCAAGTACATTAAAAAAAATCAATGTTAACAAGCAACCATAAACCCTATATTTCATCTAAAAATAGGAATTTAGGTTATATATAATATGGGGTTATATTACGAATTTACAAATTTGGCAGATACCTACGTTATTTCACTAGCACCAAGCCGGAATAGGCAGAGTTGCATATAATTTCACGTTAGGCAACACGAAATACATACGTGGCATTACGAAAGTCACCTGTGAAAGTCACCACTGTCTCATCTACTGCATTTGTGAATCATGATCATAGATAAGATAATGATCATATTTTCTGGAAAGTCTTGGAACGTCCTATGTAAATAGATTCAGGTCTACTGCTCACAAATATAGAATGTCCCAAGTTTGTGCCCATGAGATCATGCGCTTATTACCATGGTGCTCTGAAATTTAGAACTCGAAGTTTCTGTAATATGGAGTTGCACGAATAAAAGTACAATTATTTGCAATCTTTATAAAATAAGCTAAATCGCAGGATTCATTCAAAAGGGATTATTTTTTATGATTTATTAATAACGTGTGCACATCATCGAAAGTTTATAAAGCCAAAAACTACCGTGCACATCACGAAAACAACAGAGGATGCGACATATATTATATTAGAGAATTTTTACATAAAGTAGGGAGTTTTTGCATATCGGTTTTAAGAATACCGTAAACGGTAAAGTCACGTGAGAGGGCATTGCGCATGTGCGACAGTTACCGTTGGCGTTTATCGTTACGGTATTCCGATATCCAACCCAGATTACGGTATTAGTTTACCGTGCATTTAGGATAGTAATTTTGTGTACGAATAATAATCCATCCATTTTTCTTTCACTTGCCGATTGCCTTTTACCGCAAGAGTATCAAATGAAAGCATAACCGTCAGAATTGAGGTTAGGACACGCTTTACCATTGCGGATAAACGACACGATATGCAAAAACTGGAAGCATTCAGTACACGCTATTTGTCAATACGGTATTCAGTCACGTGTTTTTAACGTTTATCGTATTCGTAAATACCTTATGCAAAAACTCCCTAATA